GAAAGTTAACTATATTATACTACCTTTTTATTACTCTCTTCTTCTTCTCTAAATAGAGGTATATATCTTTAGTAGATATATATATAGGTTTATAATACTTATATTAGCCCTAAATTGTATTAATATAACATTTCTTATATACTGTATATTAATCCTATTTAAAGGTATACACTAAACTTACCTTTAATCTATTATTATTTATCTTTTCTCTATTAAGTAGTATCTTTAATATTATAGGTAATAGACTCTTTCTAAGTATTAAACTTATTAGACTATATTAATAATATAGTAATTACTTATAATTATAATAAGATAAAACTAAAATTTACTTTTATAAATATAATAATATAAGTATATCTTATTTATTCTTTTATTCTCTCTTATTCTAATCTTAGCTATAAACTTTATAGAGGTCCTTAGATAGCCTTTATCTTATTAGATATATCTATAAATAAAGTATAGTATAATATATAGATTACTTATATTCTCTTATATAAATTCTATTCTAAAAAGTTATAAAAAGACTATTTTAGCTACTTTAAGTCTAGTAGATCTAAGATATAGGTAGCAGGAACCTCCTTATATATATACTAGTATTAGGTCTTAATATAGAATTATAGTATAATACTTTATTTAAGAAGTCTTCTTAAATACTTAATAAGAGCCTAGATAGTAGGTTTTAGTATCTAGAAGTATATAGCTATTACTCTAGTAGCTACCTCTCTCTCTTTAATTAGCTTCTTACGCTTTTTAATATATATACTTAAAAAAAGAATTAATAGCTCTTAGGCAAAGCTTCTTTAAATAAATAGAATAAAAGAAAAGTCTAAAAAATATAGGTTTAGCGTTAGAAGTACTATATATAAAAGGGGCGTATTCTTTATTACTTTAATATAGCCCTTAATCTTATATTAGTAGGTACCTAAATTATATAAATTTAAATACTTACTATTATTAGAAAGTTATTACGTTAGTATAGTATATAATATATAATATCCTTATTAAATTAACTATAACCTTTAGTAGGCTTCTAGCAGAACTTATAAAGGTAATATATATACTTAAACTATTACTATTAATAACTCTTCTTCTTAAGATTTAATAGCTTTATAAGTTTAGTAGCAGCGTTAAAGATTTAAAGAGTTATACTTTTAATATTAGTATATAGAACCTTATTTATAATAGCTAAGGTAAATATAAAGTAGGCTTAAGTTAAAGATATAGAGTTATAAAGATCTATATATTTAATAATATACTAAAGGACTTTTAGTAGTATATTATTAAGTTTAGCTATATTAAAGATATAGTAGGTAGAGTCTATAATTAGTAAAAAGGGTTCTAAATAGAAAAATAATAGTTAAGTTAGTAAGAAGTAGAAGTAATAAGAAAAAGAGTAAAAGATAATATAAAGTTATAGTATAATATAAGTAAGATACTATATACTTTTAATAATTTTAATAATATAAGTTTTATTAAAATAGATAAATAGTTATTTACTATATATATTAATAATTAGAAGTAATAGTTAGTAAAGGTACTTCTTCTTTTATAAATTTATTAAATAAATTTTAATATATAAGTAGCCTTAAAGAAGATAGATGTAAAGTAATAAAGAAAGAAAAGTAAGTTTAAAAAGATAACTATTTATAAGATATTACCTTTTAGATATATACCCTTATAGCCTATTAAATAACGTTATATAGGATAAATTATATACTTAAAGATAGAGAAGAAGAGATATTTAGATAAAAACTACTTATTAAAATAAAGGAGTAAATATAATTTTTAGAGGAAGCCTAGAAGTAAGAGTAAGTAAACTATTTAACAGTATAGTAGTAGTTAAAATACCTCCTTTAGTTAGAGGTAATAATAAATAGTTAGAAGTAATAATAGATAGTTAGAAGTAATAATAGATAATTAGAAGAAATAATAGATAATTAAAAGCAATAATAAATAATTAGAAGTAATAATAGATAATTAGAAGTAATAATAGATAGTTAGAAGTAATAATAGATAGTTAAAAGCAATAATAGATAGTTAAAAGTAATAATAGATAATTTAAAGTAATAATAGATAGTTAGAAGTAATAATAGATAGTTAGAAGTAATAATAGATAATACTTATATTTTCTATCTAATTAGAGGCGATAATAGTTAGGAAGTAATACCTGTTTACTTATATATAATAGAAAAATATATTTATAAGTTTCTAATAGTATATATTTAAAAGCCTACGTAGCTATTAGTTAAAGTTTAGTTTAGTTATAAACTCTAGTTTATATTATAAACTATAGCTAGGTTATTAAAACTCTTTTTATAGGTAAGCTAGTATATAAAGATTCTTTACACCTTAAGGCCTTTTAACCTATCTTTTATTTTATCTTTAATTTTATCTTACTATAACTAAGATTATATACCTATAATATAATACTATTACTAAAGCCTAGATATTTAAGTACTATATTCTATAGTACTCTAGTAAGGTATAAATTACTATATATAATTTTAATTACTATTATAGTACTCTAGATATCTATAGTAAGATTTCTAAAGACTTAACTAGATAGTAAAAAGAGATAAAGAGTATTACTTAGTATAATAGTAATATAGTTTATATAAAAGATCTAAATATCTAGTAGTACCTTAAGGTTAATAAAAGGCTTAGAGTAAAGCTCTATAAGGTTAAAGTTTAGCTCCTTCTTATATAAGTCTATAAGGCTAATAGGGCTTTCTTTAATACCTAGCTCTTTTAACTTAACTAGTGTACTACTAAGTAGTGTAATAATGCTACTTTAACTTTAGATAAGAGCTACTTTAAGTAAGCTTTTATAAATTTTAAGTATTATAATTAAAAGATAAAATTAGTAGTAGTAATTAAGTAGGTATAATACTTATATATACTATTAGTAGTATAAGAAGTAACTATTAGAGTAATAGTAATAGTAATAGTAATAATAGTAATAGTAATAGTAATAGTAATAGAAAGTAAAGAGTTATAACTAGGTTAAACTTTAGCTACTACAGTTAGTATAAATAATAAGAACTAATAAGTAATTAAAACGTGTATATAACTAAAATATAATAGTAATATAATATATTAATTCCTGTCCTCTAATATAAGATAATTATATATAACTATATTAACTTCTACTATAGTTAGTATATAGAGTTTCTACTTCTTTTAGTAATTATATAAAATATTACTTTTATTAGTACTTAGTATTTAGAACTATAGTATAAGAATAATAAAGTAGATCTTATTTAATATAAAGTATTAATTATTAGATTATTTTTAGGTATATTACTTACTATTATAAAACTTTAAGTATCTAATAATAGTTAAGTTTATTAGTATTTCTTATATTAAAGTAAGAGCTATAATAATAGGTATTACTTATATAATAGCCTAAGTAAATACTACTTACTAACTACTATTATATAAGGTTTTTCTTCTTATAACCTAAAAAAATACTATTTAAATAAGTAAGTTTAAGTAGCTAATATTTCTAGAATTATAGGTATTTTTACTATAACTAAATATTACTATAGCTTAGCCTATATATATATAACTTTACTTCTATATACTTTTACCTACTTTAACTTATCTATACTTATTTATTAACTTTAACCTTTTAATTTTTTTTAACTTAGAAAAAGCTATTCTTAATTATACTCTTTATAATTTATAGTTTCTATATTTTATTTAAATAGTAATTAATTAGTTACTACTTACCTTTATACCTATACTAGTTCTAATTACCTTTCTACTTATAGTAATAGGTATAGAGACCTTTACTACTACTTTTTATTTAATAGTATTTACTATATATTTTACTTACCTTACTTTATAAACTAATCTTAATTAAACCTACTACTTTTAGTATTAATAATACTAATTATAGATTATAAAATAATTATATTAATAGCTACTAATAAGTTCTCTCTAACTATATATTTATATATAATAATAATAGAGTAAGTCTTTTTATAGCTTTAAATAGAGTAAGCTTAGATATAGCTATACTACTAATACTTAGTACTTTTAAAACTATAGTATACTTTTTATAGTAACTTTAGGCTATTTTAGTTAAGATTTACTTCTTTCTATCTAATATATACTACTATAATATTTCTACTTTATTTATTTTATATAGTTTAAATAGTATCTTAGCTATATAGTCTTTATAATATTTCTTTTATATTATACTAGTAGAGTAGGTTACTTACGTAATAATACTACTACTTAGAACTTACTTAACTATAATAAAAACTTAATTATTATACTCTTTACTACTAAGTATAACTTTAATAGTATTATTTTTTAGCTTAGTATATTTAGGTTAAGTAGAGGCTTCTTTATTATTAATTAGTATAAAGTTATATTTTAAGCTACCTATAAATAGTTTACTTATAGTAATATAGCTTTAATATAGCATTTAATCTATTAAGTACTATACTAGAATATATAATTTAGTTAAGACTTAAAAGTAAAAGGTAGTAATTATATTATAATTATAAATAAGTAAAATAAATCTTTTTATATTAGTATAAATTACTTAGAATATTAGGTAAATTTAGCTAGATATAGTATAAAAGTATAAATTTACTCTTATACGCAGTATAATTTTACCTAACCTAGTGTATTTTACACTAACACAGTACCTTAGTGTTAACAAGCTGTTTAGTAAAGATAAGGCGTTAGACTTCTTTATAATGCTTTCGTCTGCAACGTTAATTGTTGGAATTCACGGCTAGTCTGCTTACAGTGCGGCAAACAATTACATGTCAAGCCTCGTGCGACGTAGGCGGGGTTGTGGACTGGCGGGATCCGTCGTCGTCATTGGTTTCCTGACGGGACTGGGCTACATTTTCCGTTCAGAAACAAAACATCGCGCTACTATTGAGAAGTCTCTCCTACCAGGGCTGTATAGACGAACCGAGACAGATCTGCACCATATGCTAGCCAAAGCTATCGAGTGCGGACGACCTGACTCCGACCAACCATCCGAACTCATCACTGGTATCAAGAAGGTGTTTACGGAGGCATGGCACGAAGACCCCCGGCTGTCAGGCTACCTTCAGCAAGAAGGTGCGCAAGAAGAGGGCAGCGGTCAGGAGCAAGCTGATGGAAACATCAAGGTTCATGTCCAGTTGGCGGCAACCGAAGATCCAAAGGAAGGCCTAGCAATCTTGGTGAAGGGCTTTTCGCACGCCCTGGGCACCATACTTCAGCTTGACCCTGCCCAGATAAACGCCGACATGGCCATAGCTGAACATGGAGTTGACTCGCTCGTTTCCGTTCGCATTCGCGACTGGTTTCTTAAAGAGCTGGGGGTTGACGTGCCTGTGTTGAAACTCATGTCGACCAACCACACTCTATCGCGAGTGTGTGAGGACGCTCTAGCAGGATGGCGAAAGCTTCGTGGAGGGTCGCAGGCAGAGGTGCAGACAGCTCCTGCCAATGAAGATCCAGAAATGGATTGGAAGAAGGAAGTGGCCGGACTCATCGACGGGATATCTGCTCTTATTCCGGCAGGCGCTGACTCTGTCAAGGACGCGCCTCGGAGCAGTGCACGTCGTGTCGTCCTCACGGGATGCACAGGGTTTTTGGGCACGCACATACTGCAAAACCTCGTCGCAGATGCCGAGACTGCAGAGGTGCACTGTCTTTGCCTTCGCTCACGTCCTCTGCGCGTCAAGGATGCAAAGATTCGTGAATACAAGGGCAACCTCGTCAAGCCGCTGCTGGGGCTCTCCACTAACGACTTCACACGCCTCTGCCAGACGGCCGACGTGATCATCCATGTGGGGGCCGACATCGCCCATCTAAAATCGTATGAACAGAGGCGGACCGCCAATGTCGTCTCGACGCAGACCCTACTCGCCATGGCTACGCCACGCCACGTGCCTGTACACTTCGTCTCGTCGTCAACAGTGGCTATGCTCCAAAGGGATACTGTCGACCTGGCCGAGGTGCCGCCGTCCGCCTTTTGGCCGCCAGCCGACGCTGAGTCGCTAATGAGGAACGTTATCGGGTATGCTGCCAGCAAATGGATGGGCGAGATACTGCTGGAGCGAGCGCCCGATGTTCCGGGCGTTGTGCACCGCTTCCCCAACATCATGGGACCGGATGCGCCGGAAGAGATCCCCTTAGTGGCGCTAGACAAGTATTGCGTTAAGATGCGGGCCGTACCGGCGCTAGATCCCAAGCAGTGGCAAGGAGAGCTTGACGTCATCGACGCCGACGACGTGGTGCCTGAATTCCTGGCTACGGCGTATGCTTACGATCCCACAATTCCTTTGCCGTGCACAATCATGTTAGCGAGAACCGATACTTGTTGTCGAACCTCGTGGGCATGTACAAGGAGAAACTCGGCAAGGTCAATGTCCTACCAACAAGTGAGTGGATGCGGAAAGCCAAGGTTTTGGGCATGCCGCCTGGTATCGAGGCTACCTGGACTAGCAATGAAGTGTTTGTGTCACCTGTGTTGCACAAGGGGTTGCAAGTGCCGAAGTGATGGTGTACCGCAGTTTGTCGAGACGAGACCGTTCAAGGGTAGACTATCATTTTGTCTCCAGGAGACTATAGAACACTGTCATTTCCATTTGGAGGAGGTACGCCAGGATACCAATTTGATGCGGGAAAGCAGAGATGGAATTAGTTGTAGAATACTATCAATGTTCCTACTGCGCAAGGTGTGAATATGCAACTGTTGCAGGTCACCAAGATTAGTGAGATGTATGCTGGCCCAAACGCTTTATGCCAAACTTAACGTTGTTACAAGTAATAACAGCGCCGACTCGCGCAGCCACTGCGTGAAAAGCGTAGCGTAATGAATCTGATCAAAGATGTTATCAAGCCAGCTTATCCAATTGCATAGTAGCTACCACCACCCTGTCTCAAAAGAGAGTGGACAGTTTTGAAATGACCTACTACCACCTCTAAGTAGACTAACTATCAGATCAACGTATATGTTTGTGGATTTTTGCCCAGTTCTTTCGACAGGGTGGAGCCGATGCGGCGGCCACCCGTTGTGTCTTGTCACTTTACTTGCCGACTGGCAACGACCTCTCTCAGCGAGCATTTGGCTTAAGTTATGGTTTTCTAGAAACACTATAAGTTTGACCTAAACGATAGGCCCACTTTTATTATACGAATTATCCATGTTAGCCAGCGTTTGCCAGCGTTGAGTACGATATGATTCTGTCCTCCCAGCCCACCTGAAAAAGGAAAACTAGACTCGAATACCCCGGTGCTAAGCGAATATCAATCTCTGCTTTTAGAGATTAACTTCCTTCGGAATGAGACAGGACCATGAGTATATCATTGGCGAAGAAGGGGGGTGGGCGAAAAATTCCAGGGTGGTCCAAGGATATCTTTCTCAACGAGAAAACGGCAATCAGACCATTGACATCATCGCCTGAACAGCCGTTTCAAGCACTGACTTTCTTCTTGTTGACATTGTCCCACTTGGTGGCCAAGCTGACAATGGCAGTGATGCCGCAGGACGCGATGGTAATTGCGAAGGCAACCTTGATACCCCATGCATACGCACGAATAACACCGTCCAGCTCAGCTCCGTGAAATTCCTGGCGCAGGGCTGTGGCACCGGTAGATGTGATTAGGGCGTGATCGACGTTCGGTGCGGTGCTCTTAAGCTTGTGCAAGAGCTGGTTATCGAAGCCGGACTGCGCGGCTGCGATCATGAATGTGGCGCCAATAGATCGAGCGACTATTCACAAGGGATACAATCAGCTTTGGGATACAAGAAAACAAAATGAATTGACGACATCCTGGGAGAGGGCGAAGGAGAACTTACATATGATTATCGCGGTCACGGGAGCTATATCGGTTGGCGCGGCGAAAGCCTGCGCAATGATAATCGGGATCTGGAGGCCCATACCGTATCCAAAGCCCGCCAAGATCTGATATCCGACCCATTTTCCTGTCGAGGTTCCAACATCGAGAGTATACAGTAGACCAGCGGAAATAGTTACAACCACAGAGCTGGCCACGAGATACGGAGCTGCGATACCCGTCTTCGTAACGGCTTTGCCAGAGGCAAATGTGGAAATGCTGAACAAGGCGATGAGAGGGATATTGCGCACACCCGAGCCAATCGCACTGCGGTTGTCGACGCTTTGGAAATAGATAGGCAGGTAGTAGAGCGTGATAAAATACGCGCCAGCAAAGAAGAAGCCCCATAAAGAGTTGACCCAGACGGTTCTTTGGCGCATAAGGCGTGGTGTCAGCATGGCACGTTCGCCTTGCCATATTTCTACGATTATGAGTGCGATAACCATGAGACCGAAGCCGACGAGTAAGCCGATGACAAGACTGGACTTCCACGGATGGGTTACCCCACCGTACTGAAGAGCTAGAAGCAAGCTGAGTGACGCACCCATCACAAGCGCAGTCCCTGGAAAGTCCATTTGTAGAATCTTCTCCTTGAGTGTAGCATCGACCCGCCTGACAGTTGCAGGAGTCTTGAAGGTGATTAGAATGACCAGAGCGGCCAGACCGCCGACTGGGAGATTGATATAGAAGCACCTACAGTTGTCATATCAGCTCAGTTCCTGTCGTGATAGAAGCCGATGATTGCAAATAATCCCCTGTTTTGCAACATAGACAAAGCAGTACAAGATTCTTTACTCACCATCTCCAGGACGCTCCGTCTGTAAGCCCTCCACCAATGAGTGGTCCAGCAACAGCGGCGATGCCATATGTCATGCCAATGATCCCTGTGTAGGTGCCTCTTTTCGCAGGCTCGGCAGAAAAGGCAGAAATTGTGTATACTCCAGGCGCGACACCCGAGGCACCAAGACCGGCAATAGCACGTCCAACAATCACAGTCGTTGAGTTTTGGGCGACAGCGCTGATCAAACTCCCCATTTCGAAGATGAGAATCGACACCAGAAAACTGGTTTTGAGGGGGAAGAATTTGAATACTTTGCCCCATTGTGACTGGAACGCTCCGAGCGTCAAGAAATAAGCCGAGCCGTACCACGAAATATCCTGGATTCTGCCGAATTGGTCGGTAATCTTTGGAATAGCGGTGGCAACAATGGTCTGAATTGAGAAAGTCAGCCTCCTGGCTTATGATGTATTGGCAAAGGACGACTCTGCGAGAAACTTGCAGCGGTCGAACTCACCTGATCCAGAGCACAGAGGGTGATGCTCAGCACGAGCGCGAGCATAATGAAGAACAGTTCGAGACCCTTCGGATATTCAACAGGTTTGGCCGGCTCCTCCACAGCTTTCTCTTCAGTAGCAGAACCATCGTCTTCAGGGGTTTCCGGTTGTTCTACGCCATTGGCAGTCGAGGATGCCACAGTGGACGCTTCGTTCGACTCGACAGCTTGCTTTCCCTTCTCGGGCTCGACCTGATATGTTTTCTCTCCGGTTGCGTTGAGATTGCCGTTCTCTGGCAAGGGAGGGGTGGTTGTTAATCTAGACATGTTTACTTGTCGTATGGTTCGATTGCTTCGGCTGCTATCAGGCTCTGTGGACCTTCGAAACGCAACTTCAAAGCAATTGGTGTGCGCTTAGCTTATATGGACGGGCTAAGGTACAGAGTTAACAGTTTGGGATAATGTTCAGAGTAAACCTTCAAGGAGGTGCATGTCCAAATATCCTTTGATTGTAGTTCTTGGCGATCACTTCCTGCCCTATTGGGGTGGTTGTGTGACGGAGCTTGACCTAATTCTATGCGCCGTTAAGTGTGCAAGCCCGCTAACGCCGCTTTCACATCGTTAAATCCGCTAACGCCGCTTAACTTGATAGGTATCCAGACTTCTCACGAATCCTATCTCAGGTCTACCGCACGACGCCCGCTGAGTGGTACACCAGAACACAACCTCACCGCAGGCATGTACCTCCACCGACACTTTCTCATTGGGGACGGCAAACATAGATGTAGAAACCTGTTTTGGTAGAGGAAATTTGACTTGACCAACATCTCGTTTAGTGCAGACCCGGGCTTTACGTACAGGCCTGAATGCCAATCGTCGAACGATCAAAAAGTTATCCCCTCGCCAAAGTCTCAAATTTAGAATAAAAATCATTCGACTGAGGAGATTTGCATGTATCCACTTACCGGTCTGTTGCGTAAGTGCAGGATCGCGGAGGAGATCCCACCCTCAGCCTTGGTGTAACTCGAAGCCATACTACACCTCAATATCAGCATTCACCAACATCAGACGACGCCTATGTCAATTGCTTCCTCGTGTCCCTAAATGGCCTTCAACTTGTCATTGACAAATGTTGATGCGGCGTGAATCAAGTTCGTCTTTCGATATAGCCACCTTTCTAACTCTGACTCGGCCTGCTTGGGTCTACCGAAGGGATGTAGTTGACGGGATTACAATAATGCCGTCTGATCACACGAGCCTCCGTAGTGGCGAGAAAGTTCAACTAGCAAGACCATCACCTTGAGGGTGTGCAACGAACGCCAAGGCTCTCCCAAGGTGAACTCAAAGATTTACGTGAAAGGGTTGTCCAAAGTTACAGAGGCCCTAAATTAAGTCTGCAAAATTCTAGAACGTTAGAATACTATAGTTACACTGAGGCCCTTAGAAGAGTCCTACGTAAAGCTGGCGTAGAATTTTTGTGGCTATCTTCTGGGCCACTTTACGAGTGGTATTGGCGGACTGATTGGACCACAGTGTTCGGATGTTCAGCTGTGAGCTTCATGACACCTTTTTGTACTGTAACCAGAAAATCGTTACCGCATCCTGGTGAGCCGTCAGCACCCCAGACGTGAGGGAGTGACTCGCCAGCGAGACCTTTGCATCGACATTCTACTCATGGCACGACCCTGTGGGCAATGATTGGCCAATGAGATAATGATGATATAACTCTGTCCTTGAATGCCTATCTCTTCTAATGTGTGCTGCTACATCAGCCCGCGACAGTAACCGGTTGACCTTAGGCCGGTCGTGGTCATATCAACTAGTGTTAGAATCTCCTGTCCTGTTTTTCTCGCCAGATTCTCCCACCGGACTGTCCTGCTCAAAGGGAAAGTTGAGAGGCATCAAATACGACCGATACGCTCATGTACCGCTTCTGTACCCTGAACCACTGCGAGTCGCTGGATAATCATTTGCTTTACATTCATGATGAGAGAAGTGTACTGGCCGAACGGCCAACAATGCATTTACAACAGTCCCAAATAGCTCACATCTCTATTAGAATGAAGGTTAGGTAATCTATTTGGCTTCGACAGAACTTGCGAAAAGACTGAAACGCTTATCAACGTGGCACATAGCGCCAGACCAATGATTAAATCTTGGCCGGCATCGAGGTTAAAGTTGTTATAACACAAGCAAATTGTCAAAGGAAATTCTCCAGGATTTGTTGTCTATCTTTCCAGCAGCCCATTCTTCCCAATCAATCTCCGGTTTGGCAAGACGCGCTAGTCAATACGGACGCTGTCTGGGATGCTAGCATTCACCACAACGACGCCAGGTCTCATGTATCTTGTTTGTCAATTTTTGATTGAATCTTCGAATTCTTTTCCTGTAATATCCTTCGCGGAGTTACACAAAGCTACAAGCCTCACACCGTCTGCATTCAGTTAGTTGAATGTCATCGGCACCAGAACGAAAATTTAATAAAGCAGGCTTGTCTGTCGCATGTGTCGCATCTCGGTATTAAACATAGGCAATACAAACTGTTAGACGTTCCTTCCCTCCATGTAGTTTTACTAAGAAGCGGTTCTTGTAGACAAGGGAAAGACAATCTAGAGCGCAATTATCTCGATGATCCGTGCTATGTAAGTTCCCCTGTATTTATACCAAGAGTCTATGGGAGAGAAGCTGTCAACTCTATCTTGGAAGACCTGTATAAGCTCTACGCCTTTACAAGCATCTTTAAGATTTAGTCTATTGCGTGGGAGTGATAGACTCTTCATGCAACAGATGCCGATTTGATCACCTACCCAAAATGAGCACATAAAGTTATAGACGTCTTTCAAAACTTAAGTTTGTAGGAAAGTCGCCCAGAAACACTAAAATAGTGGCCCCTCTCATCTTGCACATCATCTATACATTTCCCCAATATCATGCGCTTATACTTTTCTATTCGTCGTAAGTGATCTTTCAGAGGCCTAATGTGATGTGCAGAATCATGGATCCATCGCCTGAAGGCTAGATATAATGATGCACCCGTATACATAAGATGAGCTATCCTTGAGTCGCACTCATCAACCCAATTTCAGAGACGAATGTATAAAAATCCTATAAAGTCAAAATTGGGTCTTCTGGTAGCGAAATGAGTCTAGTGACGTATTAACTGCTTTGCTGAATTCTCGCAAAATTGGAAACGAAACCCCCCAAGAACAACATCGCAGAGGATAGCTCCCCGAAACTCGAGATGGTTGGAGTCCATCGGTAGCAAAAGGGTTTGGCAATAGGTTGAGAATCTATGGAGGCCACAAACAGAGATACCGCTGAGATCAGATTCTGAGTGAAGCTGTCCATTGGGAATAGCTCGAGAATCATGCTCTTCAGCTCAATATCTTCCACCCTACACTCTAGAAGATTACAGTCGAAACCCATTTGCTGATCTCATTTAGCACGAGCCCTCGCAGCACTGTCGTGTGGTAGTAGTCAGCTTCGACTCAAGCTTGAGAGCAACTTTCATAACGTACCAGGTAGACTTGATAGCAAACCATATTAAGGTGTCCATCAGCTTTGGTGAAATGGCAATGGGCTTCCGAATCTGCTGTCTCTTTCCTACCATCGTTGAACTCAAATCCTACCGTCCCATATGCCATGAGGTCGTCCGAGCCTTCGCTGAATGCAAATATCTGTTTTGGGTCGTGAGAACGGCTAGCTACCTGAACCATCATGCCAAGCCGGAATTTCTTGATTTCTTGTTAAACTAATTAGCATTAAGTAACTTTGTTCGAGCCAGTCAACAGCCGAACCAAATACCATCTCAACTATTGAACTTATTCACCCTATAATGATCTTTGCGTCGTTGGTAAATATATCGATATGTTGCTCATGAGCATCCGGATTATCAGTAACCCTGTAGAACCCCTCAAAGAATATCTGTATCTCTGCCGTACGTGGCCATCCGAAGGAACTGACGCAGTATACTAAGTCATGATTCTGGACGCTGAGGATAAGTTGGCAATCGTGCAGACTCCTGATGGTGCGGCGATCCGAACCTCCGACCGTGTATGTGGACCATCACGTTACGCAATGCACGATATAAAGTAACAAAATCGCTATAATCAAGAAGGCGCTTACCTTTGTAGTCCCATGATTAGTTGTGAAAGAGAAAAAAAGAACAATGATGGCATCAGAGCCCAGGCTCCGCATTGCGCGGCTCGTTGTCCGACCGCAACTTTACCAGCACGCTGCGTGATCCTGGTTTGCTACATCACTTGGTAGAAATTAAGACCCACGCACCCACCTCAATGAACGCGAAACTCTCAGTCACGCCGCATCCGTCTCAAGCGCTCATGCTAGCCATCCATTGCGCACACCGGTAATGCTAGATCAATAAGAAGACTGTTGGCGAAAAATAGTAAGTAGAACATTCGTGAAGCGAACAATGTAGAGCGCTCTACAGTCACGATCCGTAGATTACAGGATATATCACTGCTTAAGCGTCAGTGTGATGCTCGACCCGTCTCCAGTCGAGCCGCGAGAACACCCCTGAGGAGTATTAATATGCAATAGGATATGGGAGCAAATCTTGTGCTCCTAACATGAATTCATTATCACTGTCTTGTTCCCGAATGCAACACGATCCTGGAGCACGTAGTATACAGAATTCGAAAAAAGAATCGTCATAGAGACTAATTCATTAAAGCTGGATCTGTAAATATCACCCTCCCTAGCTATTCAAAAAAAGATGGGACAGTACTATCTTAGACATATCATTCTAGTGATTAAATGTACATTCCTAGGTGCTCTCACTGATACCTGAAACCCCGTAAACTTCGAGCGCTGATAATCTCAATATATAATGACTTCTTCAGCTCGATTATGCCCTTGAAATACCTAAGCTTTTTCTATCCTCAAGCCCTAAGATATATCGCTCGCTCTCACTGTCGCCCTGATTGTCCAGCTTAGTGTGGCCCTTCGAGCTATGTGTCATGGAACTCAAAACAATTTGACTAGGTTGTTTACGCGATGCAACGCCAGCACTAGAAGCAAACTTGGTGGGTAAGACCTTTGATAAGAACTCATTGATCGTCTTTCGCAGAGGTGGAAGATTTGCAATGACAATTCCAACACAGACTTCGTTGATGCTGCAGATGCTCAAGTCGATGGCATCCCACATCACCTCTTTAGAGCGAAGGAACCTGTACGTAGTGGGGATTTTAACAATCGAGAGCGCAGTTCCACTACAAATGGTATTAGCATCTACCTTCCAATATAGTCGTACAATTACTTACACTAGCGCCAGCAGGAAAACGATTCTGACGCCCCACTGTGTTCGCTTGCTGAGTTGTACATGTCTGAGGTATATGATCGGCGCCGCAGCGTAAATCTAGATGGAGTTAGACTTCGCATCAAGATCATCAGCACATAGGATGCTTACGAGGTCTGTGACGATATTGGACGCGATCTGAAAGTACGCTGTCCACTCACTGACTGCTGCAGGCCAGCACTCTCCCTTCACGGAAAAGTCCCATCTCGACCAATACGGCCGACAGTACGCGAAGTGTAGGATCAGCATCATGATGAAGTTCAATGACACAACGATGAATACTGAAATCCAGATTAGAACGCGATAGCTCGGCCCAAGGTTCAAGGCCATAAGGTACGCGCAGATTGACGCTTTCACCAAGAACATGGCATAAACGTTTAGACATTGCGAGATGAAGATGATGTGCAGCTCGTTGGACGTGTGCCCAGGGACCTGCCACCAAGGATCTGCCATCAAGCGGCCTTGGCCACCGTTCGCCGCGAGAATAGCATATGGTATGCAAGACACAAAGTTGAGGATCTGTTCAAACAGAATCAATTGACTGCACTTTATCAAGGACTTCAAACCACATACCACACCTCCTATCATGAGCCAGTCACTCACTCCTAGCCAAGGATTGACTCGCAGTCTCACAATAACGCGCCATAGCGCTACCAGCGTTGAGAACGTGGCCATAGCAGATGCCGTTGCAATCAGCTCATGCCCGCGATTGGGCCATTCCTTGGAGGCGCGACTGTCGCTCATTTTGGGTTTGGATGTGCGCAATACAGGTGTCCGCGCGATCTGCAGAGAACGAAAGCAGAAATGGATATCTTGCAAACAACAGGGCAGCAGTGAGACTGAGGAGGGAGGTCGACGTCGACTCACTATGTATGTAAGAAGAGGTCACCAGGTAGTCCGGCGTTGAAAATTTGAGCGATGTATTGCGTACGCGCAAGACAACCGGGACATCGTCAGGGAATAGCAGCAATGTGAGAAGATAATCATACCATCTCAACCTGTCGAAACCTTCCTTTGCTTGTTTGTCGGTCCTTTTACATACTCCTCACAATCCCTCTGCCCTGGTCCCCGGGGATCCCGCAGAATAACCCGCGCACCCGATACAAGCCTCACGTCTTGGAGTGCATCCCGCAGAAATTCTAGCTTATAGAGGTTAGAGAAGTTCAGGGACGGTGAACATTCCAGGTATACACTAGACGTAGTCCCAATCTGGATAGTACACCGGCACTTGTCCTGGTACTTGGGGCGAAAGTACTGCCGTAGGATTTCAATCTATCGTTAGGTCAGATGAGTACGCATCACAGTCATTCCATCAGGAGATTGTATGTCGAATACTACTGAGTAAGGGAACGATTGGAACTGAATGTAGAGGGTCCATAGCTACACATACTTCTCGTTTTATTCTCAATTGGATACAAATGAGGAGTCACGTATGTTCTTCAGGGACACTCGGCACGCGCCCAGACAGCCACATCTCGTCAGTCTCAACGGATGAATCTCGACCCGTCAGATATCTGCCGTTCGCCGTCTGACGAGCGATACGACAATCTTGTCTTGGGCGAGTGTTTTCTGGAGCTGACATGACAGGGACACACGCATCTTCAGACTGAAACTCAATGACAAGTCAAATTTCTCCGGAAAAGACCTCGCGCAGCATTCGGACGATACTCTCAATGCGGTTTGTTTGTCCAGTACCCTAACACTCGTAATTTGATGAACGCTATGATATCGCCAATGATAACAGAAATTGCATTTTATTTACCATTCACCGCTCACAAGCGTACTGCGTAGAATCCAACTCGTGTACGTAGATGACTCCCGCTTGTTTCATGTTTTTCTACAAAGCTGCACACAAACACAAGCTTGAGTAACATTCTATGCTGACATAACTCCTCTCGCTTGTCATTCTCCCGAGATTGCTTGTCCTGTTTGATGCCGCCGAAAAGGACCGATTGGCAAGCATTCAACACGGACACGATAAGATTTTTACTACAGGATACCTTGGGAAATACCCTTATACATAGGTACGCGTATTGCATGCAGAAAGAAATAGTTACCCACAAGGCTGGGCCTCTTTGTGATCACAGCTCGAAAACAATTCATTTCCAAAGATTTACGTGCAGTAGGATCGGAACAAATCTCATCCTTTCGGTGAATTACTTCCACACATGCTCCACACAATAGAACTGTCGCATCGATATCACGCGAGAGACGCGGGGCCTAAGTTGAGACGAGAGTCAGGATTGGTTAGACAGCGTTCATTCACGCATCTTGCCCTGCGTCTCGTGAGACTCGGAGATAAAACTCAGATAGGCCCGTGCCGCTCCACCCAAAATGCTTGGCAAATACTACCGGTATGCTGTCCGATTGAGTGGAGCTTTTCTAGATCCTAAGCTCTGAGGATTTGCTGCGCGGTATCGAAGAACACAGGGTGGGCACGGAGTTGATGATGAATAAGGTTGGTCTCCAAGTGTTCGTGACTTGGGAGAAATCCTTATCCTTGCTTCGCTATCCAGCCGATGGATCAATGCTTGGCAGGCCATTATTTCTCCTAATTCGCGGCAATTTCTACTGAAGCTGCCAGTCTACCGGCGAGATGAAACCCGTAATATTAACATTATCTAGACAAAAACATAATTAGCAGCTACGTTTCAGGGCCCACGATATTTTGCTCATCACATGCAAATGAATACAATTTTTCGCCGCGGTGACGGCTCCAAAATCTGGAGGCTGACGCACCCACAAACCTGCAAAATCTCTTATTGTATGGACATGATCTCGCTATCTCACTGAGCATCAAAATCACGGTTTTCTTGTTCACATACCTCTGTCAATCACAGGTCGGTTATCTGAGCCCGTCCCATGTCCACCCCTGCAGTATGCAATTTTGATCTTTGCCACCCGCTGCCAATCAACTTACTGTGCTCAAGCTAGCGTCCAATGGTGCAGGGCCATCATAACGGTCCCCAGAGGCAACTACCGGTAGATAGGGCCTTGTGCGCGGGTACACGGTCCCTTGAAAGGACTAGACCTCACCATGTGCGGAGAGAATACTCTCGTACCAAATTCCCGGGTACATTTAAGATCTTGGTTTCGAGACTCAGAATCTCCCGCGTCCTGCTTCTGCATTTTGGTCATCATCAATCTTCTATTATACAAAGAATCGCATGGGGAGCTGGCGTCTCGTCTCAGCTATCATTCAAGGTTTAGTGCTTTGATTTTTGATTGGCCATTTGCGAAATACATTAATCCCTTACCATTTCATATACACCAGAAGTTGAATCAGGATGCACCCGTTGGTTGCTTCTCTTTTGTTTAGTGCTGTGGCGTTGGCAGATGCCTCAGGGGAAGCTATAGATATTGCGACAACGTACGATTATGTCATCGTCGGTGGTGGTACCACAGGCTTGGTGGTTGCGAATAGGCTGAGCGAGGATCCGGAGAGTATGTCATAGTACGATCTACTCTTTTCGGCTCTCAGCAAGACTGACGGTCGCGAACTACAGAAACTGTCCTCGTTATCGAGAACGGCATCCTCAACAATGGCACTCTCTCCAGCATTCCTGGTAACTCGGGAGGACTTAACACGGCTGCTATGTATGACATCTACAGCGCGCCAGTCCCGAATCTTGGGAATCAGTCATTCCTCGTGACTGTCGGAAACGTCGTTGGAGGCGGTTCGTACGTCAATGGGATGCAATTTGACCGCGGCGCCGATGCAGATTACGATGCATGGGCTGAGCTTGGTAACAAAGGCTGGGGTTGGCAGGATCTGAAGCCATACTTCATGAAGAGCAACCATTTCGACCCACCTTCCAAGGAGACCACCAAGGAGTTCGGCATCACCTACGATAGAACCGCCTATGGCAGTGGCCCTTTGAAAGTATCGATCCCCGACTACCAATTTCCGGATATGAAGACAATGTTTCATTCGTGGGACAAGGTCGACATCCCTCACTCAAAGGAGGGCTTCGTCCAACCCGTCGGCGTGTACTGGTCGCCAAACTCTATTGACAAAGCCACGGCTACGCGCAGTACATCGCGCTCGGCATATTACGACCCTATCGTTTCGCGCAAGAACCTGAAACTATTGTCCAATACCCATGTTGACGAAATCCTTTTCGAGCAGAACAGAGTCGGTGCCTTGACCGCTGTCGGTGTCAAATTCACTCCCAATGGTGGCAAGAAGCAGACACAAGCTTTTGCCTCCAAAGAAGTCATTCTCGCTGCTGGAGGTGTGTTCACTCCGCACTTGCTCATGTACTCTGGTATCGGACCCAAAGATGTTCTCAAGGCTGCTGGAGTAAGTGTGAAAAAGGTATGTGTCGTGCTTTCGTATCCTTTGATCTTTACTGAGTATGGGTAGGACGTTCCTGCTGTAGGCTCCAACTTTCAGGATCACATCGCCAACTACATGAACTTCGATATCCAGGGTCTTTCATCAGAAAGTATGCCAGCTCTCAACACCAACGCGACCTTCAATCAAACCTCCTACGAGGAATACATCAAGTACAAAACTGGTCCATACTCTGTCGGCAAGGCTAACGGTCTTGTTTTCATCGCTCTGCAACACTTTGACGCTGGTTTCAAGAAGACCGTTTCCAAGATTCGCTCCCAAGTCGCATCCAAGTTCTTGCCAGAACGCTATGCTCAGAACAAGAAGCTCCTTGCTGGATTCAACAAGCAGCGCGATATCTTGGCCAAACAGTTCTCTGGTGACAATGCTGCTGTTGGTGAAATCGTTATTCAACCATGGGGATTCTCAGGTATCGCAAACAACAAGCCGCTGTCACGAGGTACGATCACGCTCAACAACACACATCCTGAGGCATATCCCATCGTGCAATGGAACACTTTCCAGAATCCTGTCGATGCTGATGTCATGGTCGCCTTGACCAAGTTCAACCGTAAGCACTGGGCGAGTAGCGGGCTCGCACAATATAAGCCAGTGGAAACATCTCCTGGACCTCAGTATCAGACTGATGTAGAGATCATTCAAGGCAGCATTGAGTCAGGGTCACTCCAGCCTTCGTTCGCTCACCCAAGTGGAGGCTGCAGCATGATGCCGGAAAAATATGGTGGTTGTGTTAGCGATCAGCTGCTGGTTTATGGCCTCAAGCAACTCAGTGTCGTTGACGCGAGCATTATACCCATGATTCCAGCTACTCATCTTCAGGCCACTATGTACGCTATTGCTGAGAAGGCAGCTGACATCATCAAAAAGAGAGCGTAAGAAAAAACCGACTTTATGGCATTGAAATTGAGTCTAGATGTTATAATAAAGACGACACATCTAGATGCCCATCTCTGTGCTTGCGTACTCCTTGTTTCCCTTAATAATCTTGTGATTTGACCTATGATTCGCTCACTTAAATCTGCTACAACGTGCGCATGAAATGTTGTCTGTCTTCTGAGCCTCTTCCCACGTCTCGTATGTGCAGAATCGGATTCAATCGCAGAGTTCAAAGATCGCTTATATACAGCCTTGGATTCTACAACAAGACTTTGATTGACATTTTTTTTAGCTTGAGTTCTAGTATCGAGGCGACTAGAACCGGATGAATCACGTCCCAGCCATATCACTACAAAGTGATCAACTACATAGAGCAACACTATACAAACCTCATCCCGCCCGGCACATACGTCCATCATCGTGAACAGTCCACGCCTCGCTGCCAACACCGACCGTGGCATAGAAGAGATCAAGAGGATCCCATTTCTTTTTGATACTCAGCAACTTGTTGTAGTTTGAACCCCAGAACGTTGTCTGGAAGTTAGGTTGGCGCCAGTCACCCTCGTTGGCGTATGCACCGCTCCCAGGGGTTGCAGCCTCAATAAGGGGAATGATTTCTTTCGTCATTTTCTCCTGGGTTGCGATTCCCTCCGACCATGGGGCAGTGAAATTCCAAGGAAGTGTCAAAGTCGCATGCACAATGGTGTCTCGCCATGCTGGGTGAACCGAGGTTGTATTGTGAGAACCAAAGGGCTTAACGTTTGTCCCGACGCCAATCCAAGTCACCCCTTTTTCCACAACGGCTTTCCAGGTTTCAGTGATATTACTCACAACACTGCGTGGTATGAAACGAGCCCCGTACTGTGCGGTACCTATTTTGATATTTCCAAGAGGAAGGGGACCGTAGTACTTGTCGTAATGCTCATAGTAGGTCTTGTACTCGGTATAGGAGGTGGTGTAATTGATGCCTTTAGAATCGAGTCTGCTGACAAAAGGTGCGAGGATGGCTTTGACTTGGGTTGCAGTTTTGTTGTAAGCGTTGATGGGCGAAATGGAGAAGAACGAGTCTGTAAAGTAGTGAACGACCATAGTTCCCGCATCCACCATGGCGGGCAACTCCTCGTGGAACGCCTGAATCGCATCGTAAAACACAATCTGCGAGTTGTCTGTAGTGAAGAATGACAAAGATGCGCCACTGATAACGGTATCTTTGTAGGTCTTCACAGTCATGGACACCACAATGCCGTACGTGCTACCGCCGCCGCCGTTCAAGGCCCAGTAGAGGTCGGGGTTCTCTTTCTTGTTGGCGTTTACTAGCCGACCAGTTGCTGTCACGACCTCCCAGTTGAGAACATTGTCAGCAGAGAGGCCAAAGCTAGTACTCAATGCCGAATGTCCGCCTCCTTGAGTATATCCACCAGCGATGCCGACTGTAGGGCACTCCCCACCGACGACAACCAATCCATTGTCTCGTGCAGCAGCCATAATCTCAAATCCTTGAACACCAGCGCCGATCTTGAAGGCTGGGCCGCTGTATTCTGAGCTGTTGTAACTTTGGATCAAATCGATGTTTTTGAGGTGGTGTGTCCATACGGCCAATGAGCCCGCCCCAGTAGAGCGACCAAGATAGTCGTGGCCAGTGTTGCGAACTACGAGACGAAGATTCTTCAAAGCAGCAAACGCAATTGCTAGTCGCACGTCCGAAGCTCCAGAGGCATCCACAGCATATCGCACGTAATTGCCGAGCTCACACGGGCGCTCTCGAGGCTGGAAAGGATCACAGCTCTGATTGGCGAAGATCGGCGCCATTACAGATGAGGAGGAGTTGTAGCTAAGGTTTTGTAAGTTCAACGTTTTGGTTGTAGACAACCATACATACTGAATTTCCTCATACTGCCACTGGCTCTTTAGATCGTTACAGGTAGTGGCGTCAAAATCCGATCCGTGGCACGGCGCCCCGAGCGGCACAGTCGCGATTAGGCGCCCGCCTACTGTTGTGTTGAAGACATCCCATTCAGATTCAGATGGCCATGCCTCATCTCCTGGAAAGGCTTTACAGCGGCTTGCAGACTGGCAACTGGCAAAAGTCGCGCAGAGGAGCGTGCATGCGAGCACGAGCGTGAAACGCGGCATTTGGCTTTTCGGAAGGAAGTTGCTAGTCAGACTGCAACAAATGTTTTGCAAGACAACTGTTGCCCTATAAGTACATCAAACAATCCTCGGACCCACAAAGGTGCTTTACCCTAGCATGGCGAAGGAGGTAGCTTAGACACTGGAATTCTATTGCATGGTACCACTAGCGCGAAATGAAACCGGGAAATAAGCTGGTGGTGGGGCGCTATCTGTGCCGCAGGGAAAGTGTACAGTTGTAGGTTTGGAATTAGCGTGAACAAGTCCTACCGCTATTTGAACCTCTGAAAGCAACTTGCTCTTTCTGCAATGTTTGCACTTGCTGTGAGGGCATAGTAGTGCTCGTTGAGACCATGACCTTATTCCCACCGACACTCCCGCGCTAAGAGATAGGTCGTCCTGCCGCCAATCCCCGACAGTTTCGCGGTGTGGCTAATTGGTTGCTCGGTATTTTCCCTTGAAAAGGGTTGATCCCGAGGCAAAAATTCCCAGGAGACTGGTAACGAGGGGATTTGCGCCTTGCTAGCTTGGAACTTCTACGCAAGGATAGTCTGGGTCAACAACAGCTATGCTGTGATACTGAGTTCATACTGATGCATAGGCCACGATGTTCGTTCCTGAGCACAACGATAGACAGGGATTGATCATGTTCGCCGATGGCGTGACACCGGGATCTAGCACTTAGCCTACAAAAGCTGCCTGACGATCAGTGCTCAAGCATCTTTGCGTGCCGCCATGGACTGTGTGGTCGCTGAAAATAGGCGAAACTTTTTCACTTCATCAACGCGAATAGTCATCAATCTTGTACGCATCCTGCGACCTAAGAAGAAGTCATGATCCGAAAAAGTTTAATTGCGCAGTGGTTTCTCAGACCGAGTGCCTGCCGCTGTGAATAAGTAGCCTTACACTTTGTGGTGATATATAGTAAGAACCCTTCCTAAAAGAAGATTGTACATGGTTCTATGTCTTGCATAAACGTCCTCTGGTAGTGTATCGACTACAGCATGATGGTTTGGGCATACAACACCGCAGACGATGCTGTCAACGATGGAATTCGAATAACCATACTTTCCACTGTTCTTACGACACTGTCACTTTTCATCTTATCATTGCGGCTCTATATCCGAGGTTGTATGATAAAGGCGGTCGGGCCAGGTGAGTTACTCGTACTGTATGGTTCTAGTCACTTGATATCTCTTGCTAATGTGTCACACCACCAGATGACTGGATTTTGATCTTTACCTGGGTAACCGAGCACACTAGCTTTTTCCAAGGGTGTTTGGACTGATATTGTGATAGATTGCATCTTGTGGCTTTGCCGTAGTGACCATAATTCGTATGTCCCTCTTCTATGTTACTCAACTGTAGATCTAATCTGCTGCAGAAACCAAATGGGGACTTGGATTGAAGCACCTGAACGATATGCCGGTCGAAAATATATACAAATTCGGGCTAGTGAGATCGATACTATCCCAAGCGTACACATACTGGTACTAATTAGACTAGGTACAATACATAGGAGCTCCATTGTATGCATGAAGATCAATCACAGGCAAGAAACCGGTAGGCTGACAAGATGAGCAGCTATATCATCAGTATTTTGGGATTCAAACTGAGCCTTCTTCTGTCATATCTCCGGTTCATGACCAGGGGTGCATCACGTAACGCCACAATCGTGGTGATGGTAACTTGCACGATTTTTCACCTTTGTTTCCTCCTGGTTCAAATCAATCTTTGTCAACCGGTGAGTTCTAATGTGAGCCGCTATGTAATCTCAGACTAAAGTGGAACAGGTCACAAAGCAATGGGATCCAGCCATCACTGGGGGAAAGTGTTTGCCTGCTGTTCCCGTTTACACTAGCATGGCTTCTATCACCATCATCTTTGATATTGCAGTGTAAGTCATATCATCACAAGGAAAAGCACAAACTCACTCAACTAGCATGGTGTTACCGTTCCCGGTCTTGATCAAAAGCCAAATTCAGAAGCGGAAGAAGTTTGCACTTCTAGGTCTCTTTGCACTTGGCACCTTCATCACGATCATTCAGGTTTTGCGTATTCGAACAGTTAAGAGTCTCTCTAACTATCTTGACTCATCAAGCATCATCATATGGTCCATAGTCGAAAACAACTTAGGCATAATCGTCGTATGTATACCGACGCTAGCACCCCTCTTCAGGTATTTTGCCGAGAGGACGCAAAGGAGCTCCACGACCAACCCTGCGGAACGATCCCGGTCAAAGAACATACTAGGTCCACGGAATGGGCCAAAACAGGGTACATTTCCGCTTGGCAGCGGCACCGATCAGCTATCGAACATTTGTGCATCAGTGGAAGGAGGAAATGAAGAGTTCATTCTAGGTGACATCGCTGTCATAACCAAGACGACAAATGTCACGATTTAAGACAATACTAGGCGGTAGTGGATTGTAGTTGACTAAGCATTTGGTTGATAATTCCTCATTTGCAGTTGGGAGTTAACTTGGTTACGATTGGATCGGACAATATTACTATACTGCCAGATGCTTGTCGAGACATCGATCAGTTATACTCCCAAGCATCAAAGAGATTACGTCCTGCATCCTCATTGAAGCTATAAAATTTGACACAAATATCGTCGCTCTAAGGTGGATTTGATGTTGACAAGTCATGTAATGATATTGCTTATTGTCTTGGCTCTTACGTTGCACAGTTTACTTCGTAGAATTGAGAGAATTGTTTTCATGAAACTCAACTTCTACATGTGGAGGGTTCCATTTTAAACCCGAAAGCTTTCAGGTGGCCCGTTGTGACTATATACCACACCTCCCAAATCGAGTACTACCTTCTGCAAGATAACATTGGCTTCTGCTAACCAGATCTTGAGCGTATGCTTCCCAGGTTCGACCTGCCCAAAGTTGGTGGTATTATACCACGCGTTTTGCGCGACCGCGGTGCCCCAATTTACTGGAAAGTTTGGTTGTGGTTGATCGATCACATATTGCCGCCTTTGTTCGGGCTTGTCGTCTATTTGAGCGATGTATGCCAAAGGCTTTTTGGGGTTGATGTTTAGAGAAGGCGATAGTATGAGCGTGAGATTCAGACCCTTCGAGGAAGTTGTCGGCGTGTATGTGTAAAAGTCATATTCGAGCGCGGGCGCGGTGGAAGAAGACAGAGATTCAGCAAGCGAGTCGTTCAACTTAACTGCGGAAAGCGTGCGGCCATATTTGGGCAGAACCGCGTATGTTAGATTCGCGTGTGACGAAGAGGGAGTGATGCGTGTGTAGTGTTCTGCTTCCCAAGCTATCTGGCCGGCGGACTCGACGAACCCAGCTGTGAATGAGGACGGTATACTGGTGTGGTTGACTTGTACCACAACCTGCGGATTGCCGCCCTGCGTTCCATACCCCGTCGTGCTACTAATATTCAACGTCGACTTCCCGCCAAATCCTTCGGGAATTGAAGTCCAATTCACGTTCACATATACCCTAGTATCTTCGCTCTCTGGGTTGAGCGTACCAGACCTTTGCGATAGTGTGATGAAGGGGTCTGCGGAAATATTCCAGTCGAAGCTTTCAGTTCCAACATGTGCAATATCCAGCCAGCGTGGTGGAGTGAAAGGCGAAATAGCTTGGAGATTCAGAGAGGAGCCGCCGTTGCTGTGGTATTGGTCGTCACCTGGAATCGTGGCGTTGCTTCCTTCAACCGATATACCCATATCGCCTGCGAGAGACTTTTCGAGAGTCTGCACCCAGCGAAGATCAGGTGTAGATTGGCGCATTGGTTGTTGCCAGTATCCCTTGTACCCTAGATGGGTCTGGTCCATCATATGCGCCCACTTGCCGCCCAACAACTCATCAAACCGCTTTGTGAGGTTGTGATCAATAAGCATTCCGTCGATGACGTGTTGAAGCCATTTGTTTGCACTGTTTCTGCCCATGCCGCTGTAGATGATGTTCCGCGCGCCCGCAATCTGTATGTCTACAAAATTCCCGCCGGCAAGTACACGATGCAAAACCATTTGGTAGAATGCGGGTTGTTGTGACGCAGAAAGGGCTTCGTTCACTGTTTGCGCTTTTTGACCAATCGCTTGCCAGCGAGACAGAATATGATCAGCTTCCTCGTAGTTCAGTATACTGTACGACGATGGCTCGACCCATTCGAATTTGCGCATGCTGGCAAGCGTACCGTACTCGTCCATAACATCGGAAATAGTCTGAGCATACTGGTCGTCGAAGTTTCGAGCTGCCCATCCGGCTATCCACTGCGGTACCGAAGTTTCGTTATAGGCGTCAATATCGTATGCGATGTCAAACCAATGACTGATGGCCAGCTCGTTGGGCTTGATGTCACCAACGTTCACTATCCAGATGCGATCTGCAGCACGATCTTTCGCAAGACGCATCTGCTCGTAGGTCTTCTGAAGTTGGATCGTGTCTAACCATTTGTAGTTTCGTGAATCACCAACGTAATCGAAGTGCTACAGTAGAGTGTTAGATGAATTGTACAATCTCAAAGTTGAACACGACTCACATAGTATACGCCTGCTCCGCCGGATCTGTTTTTCTCATCACCCACAGGCAGTCTTCGGATGTTCTGAAAGTTATCCTCAGTCCAGAGCAGAGTGACATATTCGGGAACCTGCATTCCTGCCTCAAAATAGTCCTGAACTTCTTTGTACAAGCACCACATCTGAGGCACTTTGGACGCGTCTCCATGTATCTTGTTCAGGATGTCTTGCTGGGCTGTGACTACAGCTTCTAAGACGTCCGTTTGCACATCAGCTGACATGGATGTATCGTCATACCCGCGCATACCAATGGTTACCATGTTCTCGTAAGGTGCGGCACGCTGTGCACCCTCGTAAAAGTAGTCATAAAGCGTTGCGTTGTTAGTCGCCCACTGCCATCCGGATTGGGCGCCTTTGGCGACTTTGCTCCACTCCTGAGTTGCGCGAACCATGGGCTCTGTGTGAGACGTGCCCATGACAATGCCATATTCGTCGGCAAGCGGCTGGTTTCGTGGATCGTCAACGTTGAACATGCCATTCCACATGGCTGGCCATAAATAGTTTGCTTTTGATCGAAGCAGCAACTCGAAAACATGTGAGTAGAACTCGGCTCCAAATGGACAGCCGTAGGCAGACAGGGGATATCTCTTGTTTGCCCATCCCGTCAGCGCAGGCGCTTCATCATTGATGAAAAAGCCGCGGTATCTGACAGTCGGACTCTTCTGAACTTTGGTGGTCTGGAGAGCATGAATCGATGCGTGGGACTTTGCAGGGACATCGGCGAACCAGTGCCAAGGAGAAACGCCGATTTGCTCGGAAAGATCGTAGATTCCGTAGATGGTGCCACGCCGGTCGCTACCTGTGTGATGTGAATATCTTGGCACATGTTTAGCTTAGCTCAAAATAGAAACTAACCAGCGATGATGAGAGCCTCCTCTATTCCATTGACGGGATTTTTCACAGTGGTGCTAGTGTACGCTTCCCACTGGCCCTCGATTTTGCTGATATCCAGTTTTCCATTTTCGATCAATCCATCGATGAAACTTGAATTGCCGATCGTGCCTACGATAATTGTTCCTTGGCTAGCACTTGTGGTTTTCCTATCTTCATTGTGGCTCACGCTCCAGTCTTCGTTGATTCCTGTCACGTTGAAGATAGCGGATGCATTCGCAGTGCCTTTTCCCGTCGCTATCAATGTACCGGTTACACCCGTCACGCGACCAAAATCGACAGCGAGATCATTGGCTGCACGAAGCACACCGGGCCAATCCGCCGCATCGATTTGAATCTGAACGGGCGAGGATTTTGTAGCGAGCGAGAAACTTCCATTGACAACTTCGAAGCTGACAGTTGCTTTGCGGAACGATTCGACTGCGGAGGCAAAATTGATGTAGCAGGTAGACAGAAAAAAGACATGCAATAAAGCGAAAGAGTAGAGCTCCATAGTGTTGGTACCGAAGGTGTAGTGCAGTTGCACCAAAAATACACACCAAAACGACTTGACGCTTTCCTTGCTTGGAAATGGAAAATATTGCAATATATACACACATACTTAGCCAAGGATCTACTTGCTTGACAACGAAATGCTCATGCCTATCTCGGGTTAGGCATAGTACGCAATTGTGCGACATCGCTGATCACACCTGTTACCCGGGTATTGTTATGATCAAAGTCGAACAACCCCGCTTGTAACGTGAACAACCCTTGAATCCACTCTATGAGGTAACATCCAACCGTGAAATTTTTGGCTGAATGTGTCATATCGTCTTAGGACGTGATGAACGAGATCCTGCCATAGAGGTATTAGTTCCATTACGCTAAGTTTTGGCGATCAAAAAGACGTTGTCAAATGATGGGACGCAGATTGAATTTATCCGAGACCCGTTGTAGGGATGTTGCCAGCATCACTTTGGAAGTCATTTGGATCTGTCCTTGTCGTATGTAAAAACCACGCGTGTAGATCTAGGGGCGGATGTTCGGAGATGCAAGGTGGGGTAGCGCAGGGATGACACTTGCCAGGCTAAATGTAATACCCCGCATAAATGCAGCGTCCTTGTCTAGCACTCTAGGTACCCTCATGGCTAAAACTCTTGTACCAACACCTCACTTTAGCCAGTTTTGGTACACAACCTCCTGTCCGTTCTTGTCCCTCAAGCCGGCGTAGAATTCGTTTAGCACAATGTTTGCCACTTCTTCAGCAGAAAGTCCAGCGTGCCGGAACGTACCTCCATGCCCAAAAACACCACATTGGATTCCATTGTGAGCAAAGCTGTCCAACTGGCTCTTGCTTGCCATAAGTATCGTGATACTGCCAAACATTTGAGGAATGAATCCTTCGCGTATACAAAGGCCAGTCATCAGAAGAATGAGGAAGGCTGTTGTCCAGACGGGATACCTGATAATATATGCGGGATGTTCGATATGCCGACCAGGCGAGTGATCGTCTGATTGTAGACTCTTATCCTGAGTCGAATGTCGGGATAATCACGCGCGAGGCACTGCAAGATAATATGATCATTCAGGGCAGTGCATACCTACGGGAGCAGCTTGGTGCCATCTTTGCATACAGTGGTACTTGCACACATGGAATCCTGACTTCACAGGAGAAGGCTGCATGCTTCAGCTGGTTTCTCTTCCAACATAACGATGGCAGCCTTGCTCATCGAGAGTTCTCGTTGGAAGCCATGGAGTTCTTCAGACCATGCCATTGAGATTCTTGGAGATGTCGACGTCAGTGGTTCGAGAAATATTCGATCGACAGATGTATGCAAGAATAGATCGTCTTCAAGCATGAGTACCATATTGGAAGCTCAATTACAGCCATCTCATCAAATGGCAGCTGAGCAGTTTCAATTGTTTGATCGGGAATTTCCATCGTCAACGTCGACGCCGCCTGTTGATGAGTCAAACCCATTCGCGGTTGGAGCTCAAGTTTTCATTTCGAACCTGTTTACTACCGACGAGAGTGAAGCAATTGCAGTCTATGGGGAAGCGTCCTCCTGAACACGGTCCAGCCGACCAAATATGAGTGGAACATTGAACAACACCCAGATTGGGACTCTGCATACTCGGCAGTTCCATCCTGACGCTCAATTGTACCATGGCGGTAGGTCTAATGTGTTGCAAAAGTCTCTACTTCCTGGCTTTGCTTATTGCCTACTTCCAACGGCGAACCGACTCGCTACGATACGACCTCAACCTGCTCCTTCGCGTTTGTCAGTAGTAGCGACAGGCCAGGTAATGGATCCATCCCCGGTAGTTTCTATCCACCCAAATTTGAATCCTCAAGACCTGGACTTTGTCGAAAAGGCAGGAGATTACAACATGATGGATGACTCAACACAACCCCCTACAGTTCAGATTCAATCTCCTGTAGCAGTTCATTCCCCAGCAGGATTGCCCTCATTCTGCCCTGATCTTGCACCATCCGCAACAACCCTGCAGATTACATTTTCAGCTACTCAGTATTGCATCATTAGGACTCCTCTCATACCCATCACTCGTGGATTGACTCCAACAAGATACCTCTCGCCTCTGCGGCAGAGTCGCCCAGAGCCGATCCGTACCCTGATATAGCACAGCGACCGGCAGCGGACTGTCTTCCAGTATCGACTTATGGGGAGATTTCTAGAGGCTCTATGTATAAGCCAATAATGTCCTCGGTTCCAAAATGAGGTCATAAGGGCCTAGAGTTTTCAACACGTGCGCGAGAAGCTTTTGTGACAGCAAAGCCGCCGACAGCGATACGTCCGCAGCCAGTTACGAATCTTTCACTAGTCACTTCTCAAGCCAACTGCAACTGCAACACTAACTCTCACATAAGCTGAGACTGTAGATGCACTACCCGAGATGGCACAACGGTTGAAACTTCGTTATCTCCAACCGCAGCTGAGACTGTCATTGCGATGAATGCTCAAGCCGCGATGACTGCGTTCCTGACTATACACGCAGATTACAACACTCAACGCTTACCAGGGCAAGGCAATCGAAACTTCGTCTGATCATAAAGTCAGATTCGAGCATGGTTCGAGATCCAGGGACTGCCGTTCGATCAACTCCCAAACTCACATGTCCGCCTTTGGGCCATGACACGAAAAGTGTAGTGACTCCAGAGTTGACCGACATTTGGCTGTGTGACTTCCCCGTCAGCATCCACAAGATCTACGCGTTCTTCTCATATTCTCTCAAAGTCCGAGAGATTGCCTACTGCGCCATGAAGATGTGGACCGCGACGCAGATCACGGAGGCCGTAGCGTAGTACCATGGCCTGACCGAGAATACGGCATGCCACAGGACTGCTATCCAACATTGGTTAAAGACAAGCGTTCATGAAGAACTTTTTGTGGCCCATTCCAATCATCCCTTCCATAATGTGCCGTCAAACATGGTTAGGGATATTGGTATGGATCTAAGCGCCGTCTTCCACGACTACTACCTTTGGGATATGGGAAAGGGTGTTGCACACTTTTTCAGTGGTCGAAACGCGCAGCTTCTTACATAGGTCATTCAGCATATCAGGATTGTGGTTCAGATCAACAAATACGTCCCAGTCAACTGAAAGACTATGCTCGCGTTACTGGTATCTTCGTTCCGTTGCACCTTTCGATGGGTTGCAACGTAAATGTAGTGGCCGAAGATCCCTCCTCCCATGACGTTCTGAAATCGTTCAGTCGTGGCTACAAGCAAACACTCGGATATGGCCCCGGATATATTTTGGTTGATAGGCAATCCACAGCTATATGGAGGTTGGTTTGGTTAGAAATTTCTCAGGAAAGTGAAGAAGGTCCATCACATTGTCCTTCGTGCTTTGTTTGCTTTGTTTGTGAAGATTAGATGTTACGTAACGGTATGGGACTTGAAGTATCAGGAAGCTGCAGAAGACTTGAACAGGGTCCTAGAAGAATTTCCTCAGTCAAAACAATCGAAAGATAGCGACTAAGAAGAGCTTAGCTATGGGTTACACCTCTTTCAGGTTTCATAGAAAGTTTGGAAACGTGCTTGCTGAAAATGCTGCAAGATGTCACTTGAGCTTGTCCCACTCAATCTCCCGTGTGATCATGCCGTGAAGGCTATTCAAGCCGCGATTATCGTATCTCTCAATCCTACCAGATGGTGGCTGATTAGGCTGCTTGACCCTCTCCAGAATTCGTTTCCTGCATTCTTTATATAAATTCTATCATTGTGCGTAATTGTTCGCCCGATCTGTCCCCTTTGCACAATTGATACATTTGGTCAAACGTGTAGTGCGGCTGGCGTGATCGATGTAGATCAACATGTAGCTGATAATTCACTATATGATCACGCCCGAAGCTTCGCATATTGACATTTACTATCTAGAAGCAAAAGTGAGTGATTACACCTCTTGAGAAACTACAATCGATATTCACAATCTTACAAGAAGACTGAGGAAGCTGTTCGATGCACCCATACCACTGGATTTTGGACCCAACTAGTAGTCGCCAATGTGGGCTCGCGACTTTCCCTGTTCTGACGATCTCGTATCATTGGTTCAAAAAGGTACGTCACATCGTATGGATGTCATTCTGCGCTCGAGTGAAAGTAGGCACGAACCACGCTAGAGTTACCTTGAAGGTCTAAAGGTCTAACCCGACAACTAACCCTCGCATATACAGTTAACAGTAAACCCAACTACAACTTTTCCTAATCCGTTCGCACTGGCAATTGAACTGGCAATATTGCGACAAGAATACCTGTAAGTATTTGACAAACTTTCTTCATTCCACACAGCGCCTGACAGTGTTTTTAGAGAGACAATCTATCGTTTCGATTGTCATGGATAGCTCCACCCCATTCCCTCAGGTTCCACCGGGCAGCACTCTTGGCCTAGCTAAGACGCAGCATCAACTTCAGGTCCCTGTGGACCTCACGTTCCAGCAGCCTCGGTCAGCGCACGACATCGCAGAACTCCATCAAGAGCTCGCCTCGAAGAGTCCCGCCGCTGGTCTGAACCGCTGGCAGCTCGAGAGCGAACTCCCATATCTCGTCTTCAAACCCGATCTCCACATACTCGTCCGTCGGGTTCTTGATGCCAGCGTAAAGCAGTGGGATCGCCAAGCGGATAGGTTCGAGAACGCGAAAGGCCTTCGGTTCTGGCAGAACCTCGAAGACGGTACGCGTAGACTGATCCACGAGTGGGTCCAGTTGTTTGACCTTTGTGAGCACTACCTCATGATAGCGCCTTTCGACGTCCAGGAGATGTACGCAGCTATCAAGGCCACCGACGCCCGAGCCAGCCATCAGGCATCGGATGCGACATTCGACGGGCTCCCGGATCTGGAAAAGGCAGCAAGGAAGCGGGAGAAGCGGGACAGTCGCATTAAGGGTACTGCGGGCAATAACAGTAAGTGTACTCGGCAGATACTGAGATCAGACGCTGCTTTACTCGATGATTACCACGATTTTGCAAACCGCCTACCCTTTTGAACGTTTGGATCTTTACCCACTTACTAACACCAGAACAGTCGCAGCTTCTCAGAGGACGTCTCATGGCATGCCCAAGCGGAAACGAGCAGACACCACAGTCATGGCAGAAACCGACGAGACCGCAAACTCAGATTCTGCTATCCAACATCACGACCGTCGACATCAGAATTCCATTGCTGATGCTCGCCATAACTTCGTGGCTGCACTTCAAAGCGACACGAAGAACAAAGATACCGCGGAGGAACAAACCCCAAAGAAGAACAAAAGCAAGACTCACTATCGCTGGAGTCAAGGACGTCTTCGAGTTTGGCGTGAAATCCTCCGTCGCCCAGACGCCGAACTTCCCGACTCAGCTTTGCGTGAACTCGTTAACGAGCTCGAGAGCACCAGCACAGCTGCGTCAACCAATATCCGGCTTTGCAACTACACTTTGAGTATTGAAGAGATTCTCTCTGTAAGTGCTATCTTCTTGCTTGTTATCACATATATCTAACGATATGCTAGTTCTTTCCTCAGCATTCCTCATGGCGTGAAGTTTGCTGCCGAATGATGAAGAGCTGGACTGCCTCCAATGTTGTTCGTTACTTTGTAAGTGACCCTCTTATACAGTACCCTATGGCATCACTAACATCTTCGCAGTACTGGTCAAGGGATCTTCAAAGCAAGGTGGCCTGCGAACGTTCGACGATTCAACACCGATACGGCGTAGCCAAATCATGGGCGACAGCAAATGCCTCTGCAGCTGAAACGGTGACGAGTGATATGCGCAACATATCTGCAGCCAGCGGCTTGGTGGGTTGCGACAAAGTTGACCCTTTCGATTGCTTCGTTATTGACCTTGCCGAGGGCTTGCATCCAGATCGACTTCCCACAGGTAAGGGAGCCCAGTTGCTGACTCATGTTTACATGCATGTCCGAGACGTCACAGGCGATGCGAACTTGAAGTTAAGCGACGTCAATGTGTACGCTCAGACTCATGGTATCTCAGTTCCTTTGGAAAATGTATTGGGAGATGATCTGGTTGTTGAAGATGCGACCGCATTTGAGCGTCACAGAGACGAGATCATTCAGTTCTATCAAAACAGGTTTGGTCATCCACCTCGATAGAATATGGAGGCTGAACTCACATTATCTCGAGACCAATCGACGGAATGTCAGGGTCATCGCATGGATGATGGCAGTATTGTTAGCGTCGGTATCCTAACATGTATGACAGACGCTGAATCTTTCGTAAGTAATGACATAGACAAGGGGAGTGACAAGTTCACACTGATGAAGTCAAACTGGTAACTTCACAATCCAAAATGACATTTTTAAAGTAATGTCTGGTTCAAATGGACTTTGTTCTCAGGTGGAAATTACCATCAAAGAACGAAATGAAACCTGATCTATGTGTCTAATATTGGGCACAACTGTACCGTTGATCTTCAAATATGAGAGTGATGAAGACATTGCTCATGTAAGAGGATTTGTCTTTCGCCACTGAAGTCTGAGAATCAAGCACTTCTTGACGTAAACTTTGAAGCACTGATGTGATTGGTTAACTTACCGAACATCTTCGATGTACACTCCAGGGAGATCCAGAACGTTTTATCTACGTCGTGGCAGAGACAGGTTGTCAGTGATCTACATGATGTGCATGGACAGTGGCTGTCAACATGACAAACTTTGCGATCATCTCGAAACCCATCTGGGAGGCTTGACTCGAGCAAAGACAATTCATCACCAACACCCTGCACAGCCGCCCTCCAATAATACAGACATATCTGGACTCCATTCGATGATTTGACTTACTGGGTGTCTCCAACCGTCATGCCATGGCTCCTATCTAGATCGTCATTTTGTATTAATTACCGACTCTACCCGCTTTACGTCAACATCTTTCCCAGCCACTAACTCAAGATCTTTGCTTCTTACGACCTCTCGTCCGTCCGTCAAGATAGATCTTCCTCGTAGTTGCGACCAGACTGCTTGGTGCATCGGTTTTATGAACAATTCGTCCATTTCTTTGAAGCGAGGCACCCTTTGTCTCAGGCACAAGAAGGAAGCTCCAGATCCCCATCGCAACAAGAATCGAAGCAAAGAAGAAATATGCACCGTATGCCAAGTCGGAGGTTATGTAGGGTGTACTCCTAGCAATAATAAACGATCCCAGCCATGTGTCTGCTGTGGTGAGTGAGACACACAACATGCGGATGTCAAGCGGGATGATTTCCGACGCGTAGGTCCATGTGATACCTTGCCATGTTGCACAGACGATGAAGGCGTTGAGATAGACACACACCATAGCAAGATATCCCCAGCCGTTGCGGTTCACGACGCCCTGGAGAGCGGCGCCAGCTGGGTCAGCTTTCATGACATGGCCGCCAATGTACCACATGGGTATACAGCCGAGAGCTGCACCCCATACGAGGCCCTTGCGACGTTCCACGCGCTCGACGACAACAAAGGTAAAGGTTACCATGCCGAGCGTCTTAGAGATACCGTAGAAGCCTATAGAGAACAGTTTGAGGGATGTGTCTAAGATGCCGAGGGTTTCGAAAATGCGTGGAGCGTAGTAGGTGATGATGTTGACCTACATCAAGATCAGCATGCTTTTGGCAAACAAGAAGAAGGTTGCTTACACCTGTGAATGACTGTAAAAACATCAATGCCAGACCAATGGCCATACGATTTCTAACGCCCTCCTGGAACAACTTCTTGAACTGCTGCTTTTTACTCATGCGGTTAGTGCTACGCTCCTCAACTTGAGCGCAGATTCCGCTCATCTCATGCTGGATGTACGCATGTGATGCCGGCAGATCTCTCACTAGTGTCAAAATTTTCTCGGCGCCCTCGAAGTTATCGCCTCGCGCCAACCATCGAGGTGACTCAGGACAAAACGCGACACCACATAGTAGCAAAACGCCGGGTATGAGCTAAATAGCTAGTGGTACGATCCACTGAGCTGGTCGTTCCACGTTTATGGTCCGGTCGCAGGCGTAGTTGATCCAGAAGCCCGGCATACCTCCACCTTGTGATGCGATTTCGAAGATTCCTATCAGTCGACCTCTGATGGACGGTGGAGCGACTTCAGCGATGTATATGGGAACTGTCATGGAGGAGATACCGATGCCTAGACCTGCGACCGCTCGCCCGCCGTATATTCTCTCGAGAGTACCTTGGGCGGTAGTCATCAGTGTGCCACCAAGAAGGAAGATGGAGGAGGCAATGATCATTGTCTTCTTGCGACCGATCTTTTCCGCCAATGGGAAGGCGAAAAGAGCGCCGAAGAAGCAGCCAGCCTAGGAAATGGTCAGTTGGTCGCTTTACGTAGAAGCCTTTTCACTTACCTGGAATGTTGATACAATGATGCAATGAATTGTGTCGCGTTTACTTTGAGCGACGTTTCTCAGTCCAAAGTCACGTCTAAATGAGGTGAGTGCCACTATCGCGCCAGTCAGATTCGTGTCTTCCAGTGTCACCATATATTACCTACTAGCGAGCGCCGACATGGACGCGATTGCAGCGATAATATGAATTCTCCAATTTCGCACCTCCGGAGGGTCTAAATTGCCCGAAGCGTGAGTGGTAAAACACCCCATCTTCTGTGATATCGAGGCCCCTCGCGGAGGTAAAGAGTAATGTTCTGTGACTCCTGTCCAAACCAGGTGCAAGGTTGGAAGTGTGTGTGTGTTCGTTTCAACTGTTAGGTTGGAAAAACGTATAGACAATTTAATTGCGGATGTTTGTCCTGGACCAACTCAAATGCAATGACACGTCGATAGCGGTCACGCAGAGAGCATGCAACCATTTATAACAGTTTTTTTCCCGGTTCTTCGGGCCAAGCGTACCGGCCGTACCTCATCAGATTAGGGGATATCGCCATCTTGGAAATCGCCGCATCTGTGTAATTTGAGAACACGCACGCGGGCACTTTGATGCAACACATTCTCCAATGCCACGTCAGATAACTTGTCTTGCAAGCGCAAAAGATATGCCATCGCACCGAACCTGGAAAAGGATCACTTGGCATCGGTCATGGTGAAGATGTGACTGCGTTTTGACTTTCATTATGATGAATGTTGTAGGCAAGGATACTGGCTTGGTGTGCATTTTCTTGCCCTACGTACCTTGGCGTGTGCGACCGTGCAAGATGGTGGGAGTAGTCACCAATCGGCTAGAACGCCGTTGATGAACGCGGGGTAAGAGTGGGGAAGATATAGGCTTCCGTCTTTTTCGAATCTGGAAGTTAACACGAACATGCTGTGTACACAGTAAATCGGTAGAAAAAGATTGTCCTTTAGACAACATGAAATACGGTGTAAGAAGACCAAGACATGACGAGTGTGCTCCATCACATGTGTGATAGGCTGTTGCAGCCATGTAGTAGACCAACAGAAGTTTTGTAAGCATATTGGCTGTCTGGAGTCTTCACTAGATCCAGTAAAGAATGGAATAGGATGAACCTGTAATGACCGGAAGCCTCCTAACGTCATGAAGTTGATTGGAACTGTTCCTCGTCGCTCGCGTTAGCGTAGCTTGATAAGTTGCAGAGGGCCATCTTTTCCCAAGTCTTCTGCACCATACAGATAGCATTCTCCAATTACCACAAAGTGGTCCTCAACTCGTCGCAGGATGAAGGGAACGGATGCTCCTTGCAGACGCCATATCACATCTTCTGCCCGCGCGGCAGGTGGCCCAAATGAAACCCCGGAACTTGTCCGGAACGTCCCCTCATTCATACGTTTGGCCCATCTGGCGTTGATTATCTCCATCTGATCATCATCGAAGTTTGACAGAATTTGGCTGGTGTCATCGACGATGCAATCATAAACTTTCACGTAGAAACTGATCCTGCCACAGTCACAACTTCTCGATTGACTCAAAGACGCATTATTGATCTGCCGATGCTCTCCGGGCCCCACGAAAAGCCTATCAAAGTTGCGTACACTAGCAACGTGAACATCGCCGTTGCAACGAAATCGGTGACGTTCTTCGCGAAAGGCATCGTCATCGTCCAGAATTTGTGGTGTCACCAAATCCGAGTTTGGGGATGCCTTTGACCAAGTGAACACCTCATATTCATGCTTATATCCACCGTTTTCGTTCAGAATGAACGTCGGGATGTTGTGACCAGGAGAGCAAGTGAGCTTGCCATTATGAAATGAGCAATAGTGATGATCGTAAAGCTCGATAGCTCGAGCCCGTCTCAACTCAGTCGTCACAACATCCAGCTGTACTCCCCTGACAGCTAGCACAGACAGAGAGTGCAAGGAAGTAGATGCGTAATCTTGTCTGGGATAAGCGCAGAGGGAAGGGGCCAGCTCTATCGTTGTGGTCTTCCACAAGCTTCGCTCAGTCCACTGTCCTGGATTATTGAATTGTGGCTTCAGCGGTTCAATTTCCGACAGTTTAGACCAATCCGGAATCCATGAAGGCATCTGATTATTCGGGTCGTAGCGCAAGTGAGAAAGTATAGCCAGCGAGTTGCGAGAGGTGATCAGGTATACCGCGATATGAGTGAAAACCTCGACCACAGAGAGTTCGTAGTTTGCTTGAACGGTATGACTGGGATCGTCAATTAGGCTCAACAAAGCGAAGATTTTGTCCCTAGAATCACTCGCCAAGCAGTTGCGTGTGGCATGGAGTGCAGCGAGTAGATCGACCTTCAAATTTCGGTGTGTTGTCCATAGAAAAACTCCTGGCCAAATACCACTCCGAGGCCGAAGGCCAAGCTGGGAGAGTCGTCGTTTTGACAGATCTGTCCAATTTATGGCATAGCTACCAATGTAGAAAATGGCCACCTTCGCAAGAACAACTTCCTGGACAATCCAAATTCGTTGAAACCAAGGCTTACAAAACAATTCATCGGCATCTTTCCGCTTGTCATTAGGATTCATTCCATCCTTTTCCACCGAGGGGTCAATATATTTGAGCAGATGATCGAGGCGTAGAGAGGAGTCGCCTGCATAGATCAAGACCCGAGATGCCAATGTGTAAATATCCTTCATGATAGACACTTGATGGTTCTTTTCCCTAACCGTTTCCTGGTCGATGCAGACGGAGTCGATCCAAAGTGTGCGTCTCAGCCCGCGACGCCGGAAGCGTCTCATAGCTCTCTCACAGTTAGGCGTCACAAACATGATTTTCTCCGAGCAGATGATAGCTTTCGATTGGGAGCGATCACCACGTTCGTCTGCCCACGTATACGAAACCGCTTCGTATTTTGGGTCAGCATCCAGGTTAACTTGGTAGATTCGACATTGGATTGCTTCGTCTTCCATGCCGGGAAGGACTTCGATTAATCTGATACTTCTGCCCATGTGAAGATTGAGTGGTGTATGCTTGAATCTCCAATCCTTCAAAACAACACCGTCGTCCGTGCACATCTCTTCAACTTTTGACAGAGGGATTTCTGTGTGACGGGTTTTCCGACATATGAGGCGAAGGATTGATCGTACATGGTCAGTCGAGGTAGGCTGCAATGCTGTATCGTCAAGAGGGGCTGGAGTTCCGCAAGATAAGCAGGTCCAAATATCTCCAAATTTCTGGCGGTCGGGTACACGACATGTACAGAACTCGGATTCCATCATCGGTAGGGATCTGGGTGAAACGGGTTACCGAGGAAGTCCGAAGACCTTGGGCGACAGAGCCATTTAGGTTGTTCTTCAGCTCCTCCATGCGAAGTACGCTTGGTGGTGGCTGTGCATCGTCGAGTTGAGCTATGTGGCGCCTCATTGGCGTAAGAGATAGGCGAGGTGTCATGCGCTCTCGAAAGTGCAAGGCGTAAACCTTGATGCAGTGACAACACAGCCTCCTATGTTAACCTTGTCGAAGATGCCCTGAGGCCTCAATTTTAACTATCATCCTCCGCCCTACATACTTGCAGTCAGTTCCCAGGTACACTGTGTTGTTGGATCCGATTCTATGATATAGCAGGTATTACACTCATTCATAAAATCACTTGGACATCGTATCAACAGAACAAAGAAAGTCATTCGTTGGCAGCCTGGAATTTCAGCCTTGTTCATGCCCGGGGTATATGCCATCCTTTCGCACCTAAACGCCAATACCATAAAAAGACAGCCTTTTCGTGAAATCCAAACCACGCGGGGAAGGCTGAGAGTGAAACTCCCCATGTTTTCGTGGACATCTCACGCGAGATAGTTCTCAGCTTCACGCACTAAAGCTCAGACTTTGGCTTGCCATCTTCCTTCTCCACCATCACAAAGTCATCATCCTCTGTTTCCTCCAGCTTCTGCTTCTTGCTTGACGGTTGTTGGGTATCTTCGACGTCCTTTGGTTCGGTGGTAGGTGCATCAGGGAGCTGGGATTCGAGTCCAGTTTCGTCGGTAGACCGATCCTGCTGTTCAGCAGGCGGGAAGAACTTTCTACACACCATCTGTAAGCAGCCGTCCTTGCAAACACACTCTGACAACTTACGGTATGTTCTCGATGTACGCATCCTCATCTTTCTGCATGAAGTTGCAGAAGATGATCCGCTCCAGCAACTCCGCCCCTTCTGCTTCCTCCAAAAACTTCCGTGTCGTCTCCAATGCAACCAGGCTTGCCTCTCCACTTGGATACCCATAGACGCCCGTACTCAGCGCCGAAAATGCAATACTTGTACATCCCTCTCTGGCCGCGAGTTGCAAGCTCGTTCTGTAACACCCGGCCAGTAACTCCGCCGCCCTGCTCCTCCCTACTCGCCAGTATATAGGACCCACAGCATGGATGACCTTATCGCAGGGCAGTTCATATGCGTCGGTGATCTTGGCGCTACCTGTCGCACACCCGTTCAACGTCTCACATTCGCCGAGCAAGCCAGGGCCTGCTGCGCGGTGAATGGCGCCGTCGACGCCGCCGCCACCCATCAGCGAGTTGTTTGCAGCATTGACGATGGCGGAGACGGCGAGAGTCGTGATATCCTGACGGATGACAGAAATCTTGGTGTTGAAAGCGCTGGAAGGCGGGTATGTGGCGGGTGGGCTGGAATCAATCTCATTACGCGCGTAAAGGTCTACGAGGGTGGGGATGTCGGAGAGGGTAGTTGGCGCCATTTTATGACGGTTGTGCAAGCCGCGACGGGTGAGGACTGAGGTGCGGTAGGTAAGGGACCGCAGGAGGATTCGTGAGTGGAGCATATCAGTTCGTGTTCAAGGGCTCTGGGGCAGCTCTTGGTATAATGGGAGCTTGGGCCATGCTTAGTAACCTTCACTCAGTTCAATATGACGTAGCATGGGATCTTCATAGCACTAGCATCTTCTCAACTTTGTGCACTCTATGGATTAACTACTACACGCTCACTCTTCACACTGATCTACGAGCTTATGGTCATAAAGGTCTTGCTGGCTAGATTCAAGCCGCATATGACGTCATGATTCACGTCGTGAAATTTCCCGTCCATTGCTGTGCGAACGAACGACATTACTCATTATACAGACTCCGTCAATGATAGCACGTCGAATAGATTTGTCCTCTTCGTTCATTTGAGCAAACCCAAGTGTTGCTTCTGACCAGTTGGACGATCCCAGAACTTGCCAGTACACAAATCAATATCCCAAGATTTGTAGATACAAAAGTTGACTCAGGCTGCAAATGATCAAATCTATTTTTCAGTTGAACATGTTGGTCCTATGACAACATCGTTGTATCCAGCATCCACCTCAGTCCTTCGAACGCTGAGAACCTCGAACTTAAATCCAAACGAAGCCACCCACCTGTCAGCCAACGGACGACTACCTTACCAGTCAAACTCCTGGCCTTGGTCACGAGTAACCCTTGTACACATGTGGAGGATGTGCGATCACAGATGCAGCCATTCGTTGTGCTGAACCATGGTCAGGCCGCATAGCCTCCATCTCAACATCTTGAGCGGGTTTTTTGCCCCCACGAACTCTGCGCCTGTGCATCCATCTGCGAAGCACTACAAAGATACAACCCAGGATTCCGGCAGCGACTAGCGCTCCGGCTACGATGGCAACGGTTACCCATCCTGTCACGCCGTTGTCGGGCCCAGGTCCGGTGTAGGGGACTATGGACTGCGTGAGCGTCGGTGTTGCGACTACGGATGGTGTTGGTGTCCAGGTCGGTGTCTCCACCCATGATGACTGTGGTGTCCAGGGCTGCTCCGTCCATGGTGGTGGTGGTTCTGGAGTCCATGAAGGTGCGGATGGTTGCCAGCTTTCCCACTGACGCGCGGTGATAATATGAGAAGTAGAATGTGCCGGTGTAGTTAGGGTTGCGGTGCCGATGATAGTGACAAAACTGTATTCGACAGTTGATAGACCTAACTTGAACGACATGGCTGTGGACGTAACTTAGGCTCGGTGTGTTCTGTGCGTAAGCTCGGTGGGGGATTGTTCGGGTTGTTCAAACTGGGAATTTGCGTGACTGGAAGCTTCTGATTGCACGTGAATGGAAGTTTTACGTGATCGTGTTCCAACGAATTTGTACGAAGATTCATATGCACACTATGGGCCCTCTCACTTCATGTGCACACATCGTTCAAAGTTGTGAATCTACTACTCGTTACTAACAACATTCACCCAGTCCCTTTACACAGGCCATCCATAGAAATAGTGAATTCTCGTCTCCTCAATTCAACAACATAGCTAACGCAACAAATCTCTTCGCACTCTCCCTGAAACCATTATTGACCTTCACCAACCCCCTTAATGATTCTCCAGCCTGTCTAAACTCCGCGCCGTCTTCGCCGACACCGTCCCCCGCGTCGGCCACGCACATGCCATCACGACCAAAACCAACAACACAATAGCGCCGGCAACACCGCCGATTACTAGCGCTGTGTGTTTGTCCTCGGGCGTCCAAACGTGTGGCTGCACTAAAGCCTGGGCGGCCACGAGCGTGGAGTTTATGGCTGGCATTGTGGTATGGTTGCGAAGATGGGGTGACTGGAGATGTTTGGGTGGGTATGTGGAAGTGTGATTGAGTGTTGTGTGTGAATTCGCGGATTTGTGGGGTGTGGTGGATGGCGAGTTCATGATTTTATGGGCAGTCCGGACGTCTGCGCTGTGCGTGTAAGACTCTGGAGTCCGAGGTAATCCTGCACAATCAGGTGTAGTATTCGTGTACATTGTAGGGGTTACTAGCATATTGTTCTTCATATCCGTGGAGTTGATGCCGGTTCTGCAGAGAAAATCCATATCATGATTTTGCATAATGCCAGGACGCGGTTAACGAGAACTGAGTGTCACAAAAACTACTCACAATGGAGTTGACGACATTGCCTGGTCGCATTGGTAAGGCTAGATATTGGGGCTGTGGTACCGTCTCCTTTCTCTCTGTATATCTCATTCTTCACATATGAAGCGTACACCCACCTCTCAAACCAGCCCTTCCTCTTTCGAGCTCAATACCCCGATTTCCGTCCACTCATCGCCCGTCTATATCTTCAACCAGTGTAACGTTGACAATGATATCGTTCTACATCCAACTCACATGTGCAATCTAGTACCTACAGATGCGCAAGCAGTGAAAGCCACAATCCGACTAGATGAAGAGATGAAGAACTGTAACCTACGCCTAGCGGCCATGATCGAAGACGATGGTGCTGTACAGATAGGAACCTTTACCATTGTGCAGAAGGGTAGGTGTACAATCCGACAGGAACAGGAGATAGACGTATGTAACCAAGTTTTGACATTGCGCACCACAAACATAACGAAGATCAAAGCACCTCACCCCATAACTAACCCCGCCACATCCCCATCCTCCCCAGCACTACGCCCGCCCACCTCACCACCTTCCTCATACACCGAATGAGGAAGAAGCCAACGGTGAATATCTCGGCAGCGTGTCCACATTCTCATTACTAGGATGCCTAAGTGCGTCGTCCCAGTCTTCCCGCTGACCTCGAGAAGACGGTACACGTATTCTCGGCGTACAGGTTACGCGCTCAGGTGGTGTGACATGAGGCGGGGTGAGCGAGGATGCGTGAGGGAGTGTGGAGTGCAGGGAGGGTCGGTGGAGGTGCGGATGGTGCAGTGGGGGCGTACGTGGAGCCGGGGGAGAGGGGAGGGGTGCGAAGCGGACATGTTGGGGGTAGGCTTCTTGGGGCGTGCGGTCGTTGGATGGAGGTCTGGTGTGGCGAAGGAATTGAGTCCTTGGTGGGGTTGAGAGCGTTCGCTGAGGCGAGACTGGATACGAGCGACGAGATAGATATGTTGCTGAGGATTTCGTCTCACGCCGGAGTGGCGTACTATGTATCCTCGACCGAAGGGGACCGAGATCGAGATTTGTAGAAGCAGATGAACGGGCTCGTCGTGGTGACCCCCAGACATGGGAATGTGTTTGAGGACGGCGCTTCCCGCTGCTCGAGCATTTGCTGATCAAGAAGAAGATGATGGCGAGAGCAGCAACAATGCAGAAGACGATACCGAACACGACTCCACTTGAACTCGACGTGGATTTAGCCGTGCTTAGCGGTCCCTTATGGGGTGTTGGAAAAGGCTGCATCGCCACAGCGTGAAGGTGTGGTAATTCACAAGAAATGGAATTTGTGTACCAGGGATGGAAAAGCAGATACGTCTTGGATATCTTGGTGCAATTACTGGTTTAGTTCAGATCTCGCAATCTTCCAGCATGTGCACGCCCTATTTGTAGTTCTTTGTGGGAAGCTCGAGGGGACTTGTCTTTACCTGTAACCCGAGTTAGATCAAGTAGTGTCTCATTTTGAAGCTGAAGAATATTGACATCACTGTTGAACCAAGAGACTGAACTTCGGGAAATGAAAGACATAAATGTATGATAGGACGCTAAGTGCTGTGTGGAATCCCTATTTCAGTCATTGGCAAATCAAACATCGTGATAAACGCCCAAAGGAATATCGCCTCTCATCCCATCAACAGGCAATTTCTATGTCTGTTCTCTTGGTTTTGTACACAGGCGGCTCGTCGTAGCGTGGAAGCGTGTCAACAGATTCGCTACCTTCTTGCTGGGATGCTGGGTTGCGGAGAGACTCGGGGTGACGATTCGGAGAATCGGAATGGTGGCTGGAATAGTTTGCTCGCTCGTCTTCATAATCAGCGTGAATATTCCGAGAGTGGTGTGACTGGCGAACGCGACCAGGTGCTTGGACAGGAACCCTATTCCGATTCTCGACGTAGACATAATAGTCTTGGAAGCGAGTTCCTCGATGATTCGAAGGGAAGGCCGCCGAGGTAGGTCGCGATGTGTTCCCACGAATGTCTTCGTCTTGACGCTGGACGTACAGAGGTAGTAGAAGGGGTACCGGCATGGCTTGCGGAGCGCGTCGTTGCCTGCGACGAGAGACAGCCAACATGATCACGACGACCATGAGGATCACAGCCGAGACGATGAGACTTGCAATAGTCCCAGTGCGGTCATCGCCTTTGGTATTGGAGCCATCTTCTTTCGTGTTGTTGTCGCTCATGATGAGTGCACGTCTTGAGAATGGAAGACAGTATGTAGACGAGTGGTTATGGAGCTTGGTTGAGGTTGAACAAGTGACGGAAGCAAACGAGTAGAAACCGGTGCAAACAAACGACTCGGTGAACAGCTTATCACTACGCGCGAGAATCCGGATATAGGCGTGGCTCTCATTCTAGAGTTTCACTCAGTCACGCGGTACCCATCCAAACGCGATGGGTATGGCCGACGATTCACTCGCCGACCTCTTTCACGGCCATCATCAGGCCAACGCTCGACGAACTGCTTCCACTCCCGCTCTTTCTCCGATGGTGCTGCTTCACTGGCTCTGATGCACTGCTCAGAGGGCGCAAACTCGAATACGGCTGCGGCGGAAAATAGTCACCGCCGTCCTCAGCAGCAATCCTCACGGGTGTGCGTGCCCTGCTCTGCACAGGGCTCATGCGAAACGCCTCAGGGCTCCAAGTCCATCGGTGGCTGGGGCTTGCGCTTCCAGTGTGGCTACGCTGGTGTCGACGATTCAATGAGTCAGCTGGTAGCCGTAATCGCGAGTTGATACCCATCCACAACGCTTCTTCATCCTCACCGCCGGGCACCCGCCAACCGCCCACGCCTTCAAAGTCCCTTGTCAGCTCGCTGCCCCCGACGAGGGCAGCAGACGACCCATTCTTCTTAGCAGGACGCGGTGTGTGTGAAGCAAGAGCGGCTGAGTCGAGTGAAGACACGATGCTCACACTGCTGCTGCGACGAGTGCGTTGACGGGGTGGTGATGCGCGTTCGGGGGAGGGCGGCGAGGATCGATACAGAAACGAAGTTTGTTTAGTCGATGGAGGCTGTAACCAAGCGCCCACAACAGCCGTGCCCAGCTGGATATAAACGGCCATTGCGCGTAACGATAGCAGGGACACGGCGATTGATGTCGTAGCCATGGCGAAGATGGCAAGAGGGATGGAGACCACCACCAGCACCAGCGGTGCAAACGCGTACAGCGGATTCCACATTTTGAATTTGGCACTGCGAGAAGCCAGATGGATGAACACTTGGGCGGTGCATCGACTGAATAGAACAATGGATGCCGAGCTGTCGATGACATGTGAACATGCGGGGACGCCAAGCCCTTTGTCTGGTGCGACTATGCCAACTGTCAACAAATATATCCACTCGTATGCGCGAACCATCGTTCATCCATCTCGCCATGACTACTCACCTAACATCTCGCCAAAACAGACGGATTGAAGCGCCCGAAACCCCCTCCAGACCGGGTCTGTCGTGTCTCAAACAGCGACGCGCCTCATGGTGCGTCGACCCGGTGCAATACCAATCCCAAGCAGCACAGCACTGAGCGACGTTCCCTTGAAGATGCTCTCATACTGTTCCAGCTTCAAGCGCGAGCTGTACGGTTGCCGAGCAATGCGAAGAAACGTCGTCCCAGTCACCACAAGCCACACGCCAAAGAGGGCTTCGTAGCGGTATCTCAACAAGGCGTGTTCGGGGGCTGCGTCGGACATGTTGGTGAGATTTTTACTGATGTTTTTGCGAATGAAAAGAGTCCTTGAGTGTGGGCTCTTTGTCTCGCGGATGTCTGCGCGAAGAAAAGGCAGGTTTTTCATGACGTCAATTTTCCACAGCATCATCGCTGCTGCGCCTGCGTGACCATCTACGCAATCATGTACACCGCCAGTATTGTTTGTGTGCTTGGCCTTCTGATCTACACTGTATGGCGCTATTCAAGGTTTGCGACGCCCATTTCTGCAGTCTGTTTACGGTCGAGACAGGACTGTGTTTTACGCCTCTTCATGCCCGTTTTCTCTCGCGTCTCTCTTTGTCTAGTCTTCAGTTTTTTCAAATTTCCAACACAAGACAAACCTCTTTGTGCAAACACAACTGTGAACATTCTAATGTATATAGTTGGAGTATACTCAATCAGCCATGTCGTCTACACAATTCTCGTCGTCTACGCACAATTCCGAGTTGGACAACCCTCCTTGTAAACCTTTCCCTTACTTCCAGCTATAATGAGCTCTCCCACACACGACAAGACGTTGATCATAGCCATACCAACCGCGATCAGTATTTTGCTAATCGCAGCAATCTTGTCAATATACAAAATCTGGACCATGTTACCAGCCACCAAACTCGGAATTTCCAGCGGCAAAACGCCAGGCAATGATAACAGCAATCGTACATGGTATGGTCGAAAGCAGCGCGATGAATCCACGCTGCCCGTTAGGGAGAAATCATTCCGAGAACAGCATCTAAACGACCTTCGCGCTTGGAAACAGTCTCATACTGCTAAACGTCGAGCTGAGATGGCAGGTGATGCTCAATTGACTGTACCCGCGCCTGTGCATGATGCTCATCATGGGGAGACTGCGCAGCGGGCGGAACGCGATTTGGAACGTGGACATGGTCTTGTTGTAGAGGGCGGCGGGAGGGGAGAGACTGGGGGCTTGAAACCTCCGCCTGCGTCGCACACTGGAGGGGGGAGTACACGTTGAGGATCACACCAGTAATTATGTACTCATGGAATGACAGATACTGATAGATTACAATATACATAAAAAGTATATCATCCTGCTGCAGGATTCAGTCTTGCTATATGTGGTGTGCAGTATTGTATGATATGTAGCTGTCACCCACTCCCCCTAGATCTAGTACACCGCATACCACCGGTTTACAGTCGATTGATGATCAACGTTCGACTGAATAGTTAATCGAACGATTTTAAAACTTCTGGTCACCGATCGCGATGCAAAGGGGGTTCGTTCGGGGCATTGGAAGGCAGGTCAGGGAGACGAGGTGTGCTTGGGGTGAGCAGAGATACCACAATGTAGCGATGTGATTCCGCGAGGCATAGTAGTTCTTTTGCATGTAGTTGTACTTTATCTACTAGTTTGTCGTAGTCCTTATTGTTGTAGTCTTTATCCTCATGCATCAGCATCGCATGCCATCATCCCATAGTTTGATTCTCACGTCGCCCTGACACCTCGTAGGAGATACTTGTATACATACTTCTCCAGGCTTTCTAGGACAACTCTCTTACATTCCACGTCGCTCTTTTCTACTTCAAAATCAATTCGCAAGAGATCCATTTCTGGGTCGGGCTTGTACTGTCGAAACCGACGGAATTTCGACTGATGTCGCGGTGCGTTCTCTTTCTCCAATCTTTCGAGCTATGGTGTCATTCTGAGTAGAATTGCAAGCATTACAACGGATACGTCTGCGTCTTCTGTACTTCTCCAAACATGGTATCGATTTGCTTGATGGGTGAACTTCAAGACAACAGCGATAGAATAGAAGAGAGAGCGTGCAATCTATCATGAAGACTACACCATGGACGTTAGAATCTGTTCAGCTGAAAACCCCAATAATGAACCTTACATGTGTGCTCTCGCATCTTTATCTAAGATATCAGAAAACTTGACAAGTCATCTCGATGTTGGTGTCGCCGCGACAATCGAGAACAGCGCATATCAGCTCGACGGACCACATAGAATACGACTAAAATCAAGCAAAGATGGAGAAATAGCTCGAGGCATATATCTATTTCCATGGAAAAGAGGAACATGAGCAAACATGCTGAGCTCTGCTTTGCGTCGAAGGCAGACTCGATCTATGTCCCGCATATGAGACATCAAAATTGATTGATGATGTGTTTGGTCCAAATCGACTGAGCTGAGCCAGTACTCGTTGGCTGGGTCTTCCGTCTCCTGATTGCGCTCAAAGCGGTCGCAGTGGATTAAGATTATGTGCTTTTCCCCAAGTACGAAGATTGCGCGTCGCGTACGTTATGGAGCTGACGCGTTTCAACGCAAAAATGAAATTCTGCTCGGCGATGCTTCGGCAGCTCGCGGGTTTTGCCTCCGAAGAAGTTGCTGACCGCTTCGGAATCATGGGCATGAGTTTGCTGTTGGGAGACCATTGTGGGTATTCGAATGTGCTTCTTTTTCTGTATCATAGAATGCAAGGAAGTACTGTGGGTTATGAAAAGAAGTTTACCTGTGTTACATTCTGTCCAGCAGGTTGTGATACGAACACACTGAATGCTGGCTGACGTCTCGGTGGAGCATCAAACAATCCCACAGGACCCAAGCACATGACATAAACCAACTGATGCGTTGTTAGGATAGACCGCGCATCATGATGTTTCTGTCTCATGAAGATCTATCAATACTTAGGATAGCAGATCGTGATTTGATACCCTTGCATGATGCTGCCCCTTCTCGATGCCTTCTCCCCTTCGTCTTAGTGGGCTCTTTCTCCCTTGCCTCAGGTACAATTTGTCGTCTCGCATGTAAAACACCACATTTTCTTTTAGCATATCCTAAACAATTGCAAACAATCAAGGTCGTGATGAATCATGTTCTGGAGTTGTTTGTCTACAACATGAATCATGGGAGGCTGTGCAGGTCGTTCTCCTTCGTGTTTCATTAACAACTCAAAAGGAAATGATGTGCTTTTCTCGAACATATTCCCAGTGGCATGTGGCTGGTGGCTGGAAGTTGGACGTTGTCAAAGCTAATGATATTTGCCTCCCTACTGAGCGACATCCTTTTCGAAAAAGAACATGAGCGAGATGGGAAAAAAACAAAGGTTGTTTCGCCGGAAATGTTCTCGTATGAGCCGGCTAAGACGGAAGATGAAGGTTATTTCCGTCTGGAAGAGTTGCAGCGAACAAAAGAACTATGCAAGGTTTGACGGTACGAATACGATAAACAGTCACTAAGAACCAGGAACGCGTGTATGAGGCTAGTGTCCCTTGCGGGAACAGTTTCGTAGTCGTTAGCGCGAGTACGCAGGGTCGAAACGTAACGGCTATAGGAACGAAGATAGAAAATTGATGAGTATCTGCAAGCCGATTACGCGATCCACGTATTTTATGTCGAACGTAATCGCGAATACCCTGGTAGACCTTTTCCTGGGTTGACCTACTTTCCATAACATCATTTCGGCTCACAAACCACAAGGTATGGACTAACAACAGCTACAGCAAAAATCAGCATTTCATTCAAGCTCAGCAATGACACAACGGAGCACTTACCACCTGCAAACAACCTCCCGGTCTTTGCATCATGTGTGGCGACTGTCACGCCACTCAACACTTCCGCCTTCTCGTCTTCAATCACCTTTTCAACTGTGTAACGCACTCTGTCCGCACTACTTGCATCCACCTTTTTGATTCTCAAGATAGACACAGCTGCTCCTATCTCTCTTGGGTTGGGAAAGGACTTGAAAATGTCTCTTAACCTCGGAAAGCCTGCAACGTAGATATCGCCGTTAGCATCCGGCGAGATGTTGTCTATAGGCATGCCGACAGAGATAGTGTCCAAAAGTTTCAGGGTTTTGTCATCTCTTACGCCGAAGACGCGTACTTTCCCGTCGATAGAGCTGGGTACGTAAATGAGGCCGTCCTTGCCCCTAGTAAGCCCATTGGGGAACTTGAGTTTGGCTTTAGGGAGGTACTTGGATGCGGATTCTATGAGAGCGTGGGATGTTCGTCGACTGCCCGCTCTTACTTTAGATGCTTCTCCGTCTTCTTCGTTTCCCTCATATGCAGAGTGGCATACTCCTGAAGCGGAGCAATAGGCGACATTGCCTCCTCCGATCATACCGTCGAACATCCTGCGCTACACATCGTTAGCATTTTAGTCATCGGTATTAAGCCAGTAAATCTTACTTGACCGACTTTGACGGACTGGTCGTTCGTCAGTACGAATGCTCCGCCACCAACGGCAGCTACACGGTTCGGCGTCCGAATCTCAGGTGACGCCACCGTTCGAAGGTGTCGCATTGTAGCGTAACCCCTCTTCAACTCAAACACCTCGATGGTCGAGTTTGCACCGATTTCTTCTGCATCAAGCAATTTCCTGTTTGCATCGACTGGTGGTCGATGGTTCACAAGGTAAAAGTGAATTGTGTCTTCATCGACGACCTCACCGTCCAGCCCGTGGAGATCAAGAGCATCGTCGCCCAGAGCTCCAACATAGCCGACTGTTCCGATAGCCCGCATTCCAAACAAGCCATCATTACCAGGCTTATCGATATCGAGAGCAATCAAATCAGAGCCGCGGAGTCTCCGTCCAGAAGCGTTCAGGTTGTTGTTTCTAGAACGTGTCAGCCACCAGAACATTTACATCTTCACGTCGGTCTTTGCGAAAAAATATTTCAATACGCTCAGATCGATCAGTTGACTTACGCCGGGGTCCAGGCTAGTCTACTCTCTGTCCCCGCACATGCAGCGTAAAGCACCCGCGCCTCATTATCAAGCCACAAATCCTCGCACCCTTCCAGCCGCTCATGCTCGATGCGCCGGCAAGAATACGGGAACTCATCAATGTTTTGGATGACTCGTCCGAATCCGTATGTTGTGGCGAAAATATCTTTCAGCGTTAATTGGTAAAACGAGGCGCCCCAAGCCACGACCAGCGCATAGTATACGGTAGTACTGATGCTCGGCATCTCCAAATACGGTTTATGCTGAGTACAAGGCGACCAAAGTGAGGACCGTAAGAGAAGGTTTGGCGGGGATGAAACTGGAAGCACTATTCATGACGCTGTTGACAGCGGCTGACACTCGTGACGCTGTCAGATTTTGCCCCGCGCTCAGACCTCGGTTGCGGAGATCCCATGCCTCCACGTGGTTGCTGACAAGGCCTGGCATTCTTAACGACGTAAGTTCGACTTTCTTTGTTGGCGCTGAAGAAGCAACAGAAAAACTAGTATGGATAGCAGCAGTAAGAATTCGATAGTGGGCGCTGCGCCACTAGATTCTTGATCACACCCATAGGCCAGCTGTATTCGTGATACACAATGTTCCAAGATACTTGGTATTTCTGTAGTCGCATTTATAGTTACTGCTCCGACGTGGCTGACCTAACGTGTTACCAGTCAACGGTTTGATGTAGCCCTATGCTCTCGCGTGCTTGTGAAATTGGAAGGTTACACAACCCGAGTTGATATTTGGATACGATGACTACGCCGATCTGGTACAAGGGCAATATTGATGGCTGATGGAGACGCAGGGTCTCATCGCTGCACTCCGCTGTTCGCTTGTGTTGTAGTCGCGCGATGGCGTCCGATAGCTGCACTATTCAGGAGATGGTGCACTTGAATATCTATTATTAGATACGAACATAAAGATCAAGATCGTCAACCAGAATTATGTTCTCGGTACCACGCCGAAGTGATGTCCTGGTGTTTGGGTAGTACTGCTCCATAATTTTAACTCATACCTTTCCAGGTTTTGAAATAGAGTCCTTTGATCGCCTTGCGAACGAAAGAAGCAAGTTGCGGACGGGTCACCATCCTAGAGTAGCTTGGCTAGCGAGAGCTGAACCGACTTCGATGTTGGTGCGTCGAGCTTACATCCTTTTGACAAGGCTGATCCACATCCGCGTCGACGATCAAGTGCCGGGGCTGAACAGATACCTCGTGTAAAACCTAGTAAGGGCTGTTGATCTTTCCCGATATGGTATTGGGAGGAAGGAGCCCTGTGGTACATAAGGAAAACCTTCCTCTGAGACTGAATCGCAACAGCATCTTCCACCAACATTCGTTTGAGAGCATCTTAACACCTCCCTATAACATTCTATCAGACGTATCTCCGGATCATACATTCGCTCGATCATCATGCGTTTCTCTCTTGCTTCGGCCGTGCTGGCTGTATGCGGAGGCAATGTGGTGTCTGCCGCCTCTATGTCGACGTCTACTCTCAAGATCTCGACGACTTCCTCGGCTGCGAAATCATCGACCATTTCTTCCGCCGCAAAATCATCAACCGTTTCCTCGGCCGCTCCCGTCTTCACTTCTGCTGTAGCACTTCCGATGGCTGCTTACGATACCCCGAAATTCGTTGTACCGGTTTCCCTTGATCAGATCCTACAAGGCATCGGCAAATCCATCGAAGAGCTCAAAAGTATCTTGGGAGGCAAAATCCGGAGGGAGGTTCCTATGCCTCGCGACATCTTCGTAGAGCCAACCAACACCTCGGATACATCTGAGCACAAGTTGACTGCTCGAGCACAGTGTGCCAATCCGCGCGTCCGTCAAGAATGGGACTCTTACTCAGCTAGTGATAGGAGAGCCTTTACGGATGCCATTAGGTGTCTGATGACCAGACCACGTTCAGGCGCATTCGCCGCGGCCAAGACCCGATACGAGGACATGGTTGCCCTTCATCAGACGCGAACGCCCTCTGTTCATGGCAACCATATCTTCTTGCTTTGGCACAGGTACTACCTGTGGACGTTTGAGCAACTCCTGCGCAGCGAGTGCGGTTTCAACCGTCAACTGCCCTGGTTCGATGAGACGAGGTACTCTGGGAGGTTTGCACAATCGTCCGTTTTCTCGTCGGATAACTTTGGATCCGTCGATATCGGTGGCCAATGCGTAACGAATGGAGTAAGTCTCGTCCACAGATTTTGATCGACCATATGGCTGACCAGTACTCTTAGCAATTTGCCAACCTTGCCATCAACATTGGTCCTGGCACAGGCAACACGCGCCATTGTCTTGCCCGCAATGGAAACTCTCAACTCACCGCAAACACAAACTCGCAGATAGTCAACGGTTGCAACGCGTACGGCATTTACTCGACGATGGCATACTGCGCAGAGAGAGGTGCACACGCCTATGGCCATAATGGCGTTGGTGCTGTCATGATCGACACCTATGCTTCTCCCGCTGACCCCGTCTTCTGGCTCCACCATGCATTCATCGACCGCAACTTCCGCGTATGGCAAAACTCGGCTGCGTCACGTCGTACTTCGGTTGACGGAACCGACACTAACGGCAACAAGTTGACTCTTGACACTGTAATCAACGTGGCTGGCATCCGACCTGACGTGCGCATCAGGGATATTCTCGACACGCAGGAGACGACGCTCTGCTACAGGTACAACTACTGATTACATTCTTTTCTTTCGTTTTGTTGGGCATAGAATTTGTGGTAGTTCCAGTGTAAATATGTTAGTGCAAAATTAGTGTGTTTAGGTAAATTTAGTGTATATAATCTTGGTTGCGATGATTCGTTACAATTGCAAATGCGAATCGTGACGTCATATGGTCAACTATCATGACTACAGTTGAACCATGGAACATCGACTGCATCTTGTACACCATTTCGAAACTGACCTGCATCTAAACCAAAATGACCAAATCCGCATCTTTCGACGTGATAGGCACCTGCTTCGACTTCACCCATCCGATTGAGACAATTCACTCCCGCCTCGGCGACAAGCTCTCCACCGCGGCCGTCGACCCCAAGACACTTTTCTTTAGCTGGTTCTACGCAGCCCAGCGCGACTTTACCTACGTCAGCCTCGCAGGATCCTACAAGCCGATTGCCGAGATCCTCAAACTGACCTTCCGACGCGCATGCCGCGTTGTGGACCTCCCAGCCGATGTAGTGACTGATGAGGATCTCGCAGAGCTGATGAAAGCATTCAAAGCCATGATTCCACGAACAGGACTAAAAGACTGTTTCGATGGACTGCGAGAGGCAGGATGGGATGTGTATGGCGTTACCAATGGTGGCGTTGAAACTTCGTTGGGCTATTACCACAACGCCAATATCGATCTGGATAGGGAACATCTGCTCAGCTGCGATGACTTGAAGATCGCGAAACCAGATGTACGGGTCTATGAGAACGCAAACAGCCACCTGACCAGTCGCGGAGTAGGGAAGAAGGGCGATGACGAAAGATGGTTCGTGGCTGCGCATGCCTGGGATCTTATTGCAGCGAAGAAGGCAGGATTTAAGACAGCATATCTGGACTTTGAAGAGCATGACCCCGTAACGGAAGTCTTTGGCGAGTTCGATTTGTACGCGAAGGACATGACGGAATTGCTGGCAAAGCTGAAGGAGGTTGCATAAGCAGTTAACCAAAAGTTGAGCCTCAAGAAGATATACAAAAGGATCAAGCATTGGCTGACATGGATGTTTATAGCATAATTCATCTTAATAGTAGAATACGCAATGCTCGGTCCAATTCATGCACATTCAGTAAACATGAACCCACATGATAACTTCTCAGCAAAATCGGTAGCTTGCTGTCCTCATAGGCTTTTCGATGTAAAGTCTTGAGCGCAGTTTCCGACATGTAAATCCACAATTTTTTCCAATTCTCAAAACGGTAAATTGACAATGAAGTTTCTAGGAACATCGGTAAAGATGTAAGAGCTACTCAACGATGTTTACGAATGTGCCATAAAAAGGCTTTTCATGTCTCTGCCCCCTGATCGCGGACATCGGCACAGCATGTGCACTTTTTTGAACAAGGAAAAATCGGAAGTGTACAAAGATTGTTGCAGACATCGGGCATGAAAGATTTTGTTTGTGTTCTTTGGTACATGGACCGATCTACCATGTTGTAGCAAATGTTGGACCGCAGACATCCGACAATGACAAGACACGACACCCACCACGGTTTTGACATCATTCGTAGAGCTGTGGTTCTCTGATGCCGAATCTGGCATTGAACTTAATATATGGAAACTTTGAGCTCGTTTCAGCTTTTCCGGGAGAAGCCGCCGAGGCCTCCCCGACTCGCCACCGCCAGGCTGCCGTCTTCCTTCCTTTCTCCGCAACACACCTCACTCAACCTTAGCGGTCAAAATCACCGCCATGTCGACTTCCGAGCCATTCAACGTCGATAGAATTGTTTCCCTCTGGACTGAACTCTTGCAACTGCAAATAGACATCGGATATTACCCGACCGATGACTTCATCTCGTTCCCGCCCCCGGAGGGCCGCCCGATAGACGAAAAGCTATGTCAAGAACTTCACCTGACGGACGAGGTGATTTCGCTCCTGAAGCGATTACCCTGTCCTCCAAATTTTAGCGAAGCATATGACACACCAATATTCGACGAGTCTATGGCTGTCCCGTTCACTGACAACGAATGGATACGAAACTCGCGAGATCTCAAACGATGCTGGTATGCAAATGACAATGAGCCTCTACGGCTGGACTATTTGAAGCCCGAGGAGCTTGCGCTTGTGCTGGAGATAGACGATACAGGGCGTCATTTGATCCTTGACACTAAAGCTAGTAAGGGGTTCCATTCTTGAAGCTTTCTCTTTTTTGCCTACTTTTTCTTCTTTCTCCCGCTAACTTCAAGTTTCCAGATACGGCCCGCTTCTTCATCGCCATGGAAGAGATGTTCAATCCTGGAGAAGGCGAGGAGGGCATACACGAAGTTTTAGATGATCCTATGCATTACCGAAATTATCCAGCCAGGCCTGCAGTTGAAGTTCTGGAAGAACTTGTGGCCACATTTCGTGATTTGGTGTGGATTCCTGTGGGACATGGGATCGGGTGGCCGCGGATACTGACCGCTGAAGATCAAGAATTGAATGAAGTATGTTCGCCCTGTTCGGTACTGTTTTATCGGGCGTTGAAATAACCTTTTTGGCAGCATACGGACGCCAAAAGAATTCTCCAGGAACAGTTTGGCTGGCCGGACAATTTCGACAAGGAACAGTGGAACAGGCAACGTACTGAAATTTGGAAACGCTTATTGTATTCAGATGAGGTTCGGTCAGCTGTAGCAGCGAAACATTTGGAAGAGAAGATGCAATTCGCGAGGCGATTGGACATGCAGGCGCAGGCGGAAAACAAATGTCGTATTCTATGATTTAGTCAATAGTCGCACACTCTGCTGCTGCAGATATCTAGGCTAGACATCATGCAACAATATACCATTCCATCAACGACTCCGCAATAGTGTTGTAGATGTTGAGTTTGAACAACGCTCATGAACAAAACAAGTATAGCTTTTGCTCTTCGTCAAGGCTTTTGGGAGTGATACTCTCGGGTTGCGGAAATGGTACTTGATTTGATATAGCAAGGGAGTGCTCTTACGCACGCCCAAAGACGTCAGGAAAAACGACTGAGTGAAAGAAGGAAACCTTCGTTCCAAGCCTGATATTGGTCAATTCCGAAGAAGCGAGCGCAAACGCATATGACAGTAGCATCCGTAGAATCTTTTTATCGGAAAATCGGACATGTCTATTACCAGTATACCGCTCACTTGTGGGTTTCAATTTACTAAGTCTCAGGCGCACATTTTGCGTATCCTTTAGGTAAACGACGAAGCAATATACGAATCGCATTTCTGGTAATAACATAATGCAGGCAGAGTTGACATTGGTGATGTGATGCCTGTGGTGAGAGTAAAAGCCAGAGGACATAGTTCTACTGATGTTCGAGTTGTAATAAGCATCAGTATTGCCTAAGAGTGTTTTCTGCGTAGTATAATGTTTTACATTTGCTCCTCGAGTTATATACTTCCGGGCTAATCGTTTAGTTCAGAACTTTTAAGTGACTTGAATACCAAGAAGAAAAGGAGGTAGTCGGCTGTGTGGTAATTCAATGACAGTTTAAACCAAAAAAAATGCTTGAGTATTAAGACTTGAGGAAAAGAACACACTTAGCCTGTATGAAAGCGTTGAAAGTAATAGCTTAGGTTAATCTATTCATTTCGTGTATGTAGTACTTTACAAAATAGAAAAAGGCCACCAAACACAAGTCTTATGTCTAACAGCTTTGGAAAAAGGAGGTAGATATAGGTTGTAGAGATATATCTTTAGACCAGAAAGAAAAGGCAACTAGATGTATGACAACGAGTCAAGACAAGCTCGCCAACGGACAGGAAGAGAAGCGTCCAGACATTTCATAGCTTTGTTAGCATATTGAGAGGAAAGGAAAGACATCAGTCAATGGTGGCGTAGTTTTTGGGGAGGAGGATAATACTTCCAGACATGATGTGTATCATGAGTCATTTGAAAAGAAGAGAAAAGCGGACAGGTTATCTATAGTTCCGCATATGTGTGAAGGAAAAGAAGTCACCCGCCAAACATGGTCATCCCGGTCAAGATTTTGGAGTAAAGAGGTCAACAACGGAGGTCGTATGCGTGCTCTGTCTAGAAGAAGGAGGCGTCCAAATACAGGCGATGTTAAGTTCTGTTCCAACATAGTATAATAGAGGACAACATGTCTTTGCACACCAGTCAGTAATGTAGGTCTGTTTAGATAACAGCAGACACGTTCACACAAGGGCTCTACTCTTGAAAGATTTAGCGGAAGAAGGCAGACATGTCTTTCGGCTGCGCAGGTTTTGAGTAATAAGAGGTGATGTGCAAATACAAGTCTACGCTGTCATCATTCTAGAAGAAGAGAAGAGCGTTGTCTAGATACAACCCGTGTTTAGAGGCGTTTTGTAGTCGAAATGAAGAGCAGAAGAGCAAGGTTCAGACAATGAGACTTGGGACGCAATTTTGAGAGGAGAGACAACGATTTAGATACTGCCCGCAGACTTTCAATCGTTATATAAATAGGTCTGGGAAAGTCGCCTAGACATGGAACACAACCAGATGGGTTTTGAGAGTTCAAAGGCTTTTAGAGATTGTGATTGGAGTAGAGTGAAATAGGGAGAGGTCTAGGTTAGTTTTGTGAGGAACGAAGCAAACGCCACTCAGGCATGTATTGCCGGTGAGATGTTTCAAGAGAAGGGAGCAGATGTCTAAATAAACAGGATGTAAACTGAGAAGATGATAATCAAAGAGCCCCAAGAATCGCGTGTTATAATTTAATACAACGGAGGAGACAGCCAGCCATACGGGCTCATAACCTGTTTTCATAGAAGAAAAGATATAACACTTATCTGCAACGAATTTTGCCATTCTCTAGATAGTTTGAGATTTCTAAAAGCCGTTGTAGATCTAAATTAGAAGGAACAAACGTTAACATATAGATTGATTTATGGTAATTTTTTTGGAAGAAGGAAGGCATGTAAGCTGCAGACACAATTTTGAGAGAAGAAGAGGAGACTACCAGACGTGAATATATAATTTATTGCTTTTTGTTAATATTTAGAATCCCTAGACTAGCTTAGAATAGAAAGAGGAGGAGGGCAGTTATAATTTATAAAGACTAAAAAAGAAGCGTTAATATATCCTATTCTAGTATTGGTTTTATAAAGGACTAGAAACTTCCTAATATAATTTTATCCTTATTACACTTCTTGTAATAGAAGAGTAATATAAAAAGTTTATTATTAAATCTTAGTTATTTAGGTTCTTAAAGCGCGGTATATATAGCGTTTTAGTAATTATATTTTTAAGTAGATAGGTAAAAGATTATCTATATATTTTATATTCTCTTTTTTATTATAGTTATAATAAATAGATACAGAAAGAACTCTTTCTAGTCCCTAAGAAAAGGCGTCTAGAAGACTAATTAGGATACAGTATAGTAGATATATAGCTCTACATTAAAAACTTTAGGTAGAGAAGAAGACAGCTATTAGAATATAATATTTATTAAGTATACCTTATAAGAGGCTAACTCTAAGGGTAGTTACTAGTATAAATTAGATAAATTTACTAAGGATCTATAGTACTAGTTTTCCTCTACTTATAGTCCTTCTAGTAGCGTACTAAGAGTTTCTAAAGTATAGGTAGTAGAGTAGGTATTAGTAGTTAAGCTTACTAAGCTTTAAGGCTTTACTTACTAAGGTTTTACTAGGCCTAGCCTATTATATAAGCCTCTCTTTAGTAAAAATTCTTATATTTTAACTCTACTATAATATAATATATTAACCTATTACTAACACCTCTACCTATATCTATATATATATTTTTAGCTTTAACTTATATATACTTTTACTTTTCTTACTCTTCTTTATTAATATAGTTAATATTTATACTAGTGCTATTTCTAGTAGTAAGTAGTTTACTTTTACTACTCTTACACCTACCTAGCGTAAGAGAAAGAAGGCTAAGATAAATACTTAAAAGGCTAATTTTACTAAAGCTAAGGCTAAGCTCTTTACTACTACTTCTATATCTATATCTAACTTATTTAGTAAAGAACCTAGTATAAGTTTCTTATTTAAGTTTTACTTATTTTTTTACTTATTTTCTAATATTATCTAAATAAATACTTACTTTATAGCCTACTAACTACTTTACTTCTATAGTTAATATTCTCTTTATTAGTAAGCTTAACTCTTTTTATTATACTAACTACGTAATATATCTAGTTACCTAAAGTAAAATTTATAAGTTTAATAAAAGTAGAGCTACTTACTATTACTACTTTACTAAAGTAAATTTTACTTATTATACTATAAGTTTACTAGAATTACTTTCTTCTTTTTATTTATAGCTAATATTTTAATAAATTTCTAATAAACTTAAGCCTACTATTATTTATATTTATAAGCTTTTATTACTTATTAAAATAGACTTATAGTTCTTTAAGTTACTTAAGAATATTAATAAGGACTTTATCTAGAATCTAAAAAAAGCCTAGAATAAAACTTAAAAGCTTACTTTTAGCTAGAAAAAGTACTAAAATAATTATCCTTTTAACTTAGTTACTAAAAGTTTACTTTATAGAATTACTAATAAGTTAGGCTTAATATACACTAGTATTTAGAAGTAGAACTAAGGCCTTATAAACTTAGTAAGTCTTTCTTTTAGTATCTAAAACCTTATTTTTTACCTATTTTTTTAGCTAATTTATAGGTTTTTTAAGCTTTTACTATTAATAATTAGACTTACTCTATTACTTAGGCCTTTAAGAAGGTTATTAAATCTTAAAAGTTAAGCTACTTACTTACTAAGTTTAATTTCTTACTACTTTATAGCTATAGTACTAGTATTCTAGCTTTTAGTTCTTTTAGTAGTAGCCTTTAAGCTTTTACTATTAGCTTTTTTAATTATTTCTTCTAGTCTAGATAAGAGGGTTTAGTTTTTATTATTTTTAAGTATACTATCTCTTAAGAACTTAGAGCTACTAGTAATAGTAAGCCTAATAGGTATATTAATAAGTAGAAGGATAGTTTCTAGGCTATAAATATTAATTAGAAATAGGTTTTACTAGTATTTTCTTAGGTTTTTTAGTATTTATAGAATAGATACTTTAGATATTTACTAGCTTTAGGCTAGTTAGCTTTTTACTATTTCTCTTTTCTCTTTACTATATATAAGTAGTTAATTTTATCTTTATTAACCTATTTCTTTATAGCCTTTATATTTTTTATTTTTTCTTAGCTACCTATATTTTTAGCCTTAGTAAGAGTACTTATTAGTGTACTACCTATAGTTTCTAGTAGTACTATTACTAAAATTACTACCTTCTTTACTATACTTTATTATTACTAGAGCCTCTAGTATTATTAGAGTTTATTAGGAAAACTTTTATAGAACTTCTTTAGTAGTTTACTTATTTTATTTTATTTATTTTCTAAAAAGGCTAACTAGCTATCTAGTACTTTAGCTTCTTTAAGGTTTTTTATAGGTTTCTATAAAGTTATAGTATAATTCTTTTACTTAACTAGGTATTATTTTCTATATTTTCTACTATAGTATTTTTATATTTTACTTATAATTTCTTTAATTTTCTAGTAGTTTTCTAGTTCTCTATTAACGTTTTCTACTCTAGAGGATAGGGATTAATATATTACGTTACTATTGTGTTTTTATATACGCGTTTTAATTACTTATTAGTTCTTATTATATATTTACACTAACTACAGCAGCTAAAGTTTAACCTAGTTATAAGTTATTAGCTATTTACTTTCTATTACTATTACTATTACTATTACCCTTACTACTACCTCCTAATAAG